GAGCAATCTTTTTGCCTCAGTACAACCTCCAGAGCAGCTCACAGAAGACAAGTGTTAAGGATTCAGGGATGGGAGGAAGCAGACCTGCTTGTTCAGCTGCCTTTCAGAGCCAAGAGCATGAAATATGCTAATCTTGCCCATCTCTGCCAAGCACTGCAGACCCAAAACCACTGAATGCAAAATAAAACTTTCACCCAGCTTTAACCAGAAGTGAAATGAGTGCCACAGCCTCAGCTACCGAATTCATGCATGCTGGAAAAACAGATCTCCTATTACCCAGAAGAACTGGATGTGAACCAGTGACCTGTGTCTATGTGTCATCATTCTCCACCTCCCTGCTGCCCTCAAGCCATCCGTCTTGCCTGAATTTCTCAGAGCTCTTAAACAAAAAAGTCACAAAGCAGAAAATCATGATGTTGCAAGGAAAAATCCCAGCTGGAGCCAAAGGGCATGGGGCAGGTGGCTCACAATGACCCAGCTGACCCTCAGCTGCTCTCAAAATTGTTGCCCTGATTATACTAATCCAGTTAAAGGCCAATGTTTCCTTCAGATGAATACGGCTGACAGCTCATCCCTCAAAACCATTCCCCCTGAAAAACCCCTAAGCAGAACCTTTCCTCATCAGACACTGTGCCAGCCATTCACACTTCCTCAATCCTCTTCCACCTCCGACAGACATCAAATTTCTCATGTCCACTCTCATGTTGCTGAGCACAGACAGCCACCAAAGGCCTCGTTATAAGCCAATAACATCAGTCTGCTCCATGGAAGCCTGACATATTGCACCTCAGACCTCATCCCCCTCCCCAGTCACTTGGAGGGTCAGTAGCCAGGAGGTTTTTATTGCAGGAGTCTCAGCAGAGGTCATGGTAAGCTGCAGAGGTCAGCAGAAAGGTCTGTAGCTGGGAGAAGAGGAAGACTGATGCTAACAGCAAACTTTTATTCAATTTATGCTAAGGCAAAATAGAGCCAGCCAGACTGCCTGCCCCAGAGAACACCTTGCCAAGACAGAAAGTATTCAAGCTCTTCCTGTTTCCCCAAGGTCACAGTTAGAGCTGTGTCTTTTACTACCATGTTTTGGATACTGGCCTGTTGGGCAGCAGATTACAACCAGCAGCATTTGAATGTACAGCTCCCAAAAGTCAAATCAGGTGCTAACAAAGAGCAGAGAGCAGTGTGAGCACTGTTGTGTCTCTCCATGCACAGGTGCCACAATCAGCCTTTGTCAAGGCTGGAGCTCCAGACAGCAGTGGCAGGGTCAGTTCTAATCATCAGCCCAGACATACCACCCCGCCTTGCATTTCTTTACAGTAGTACTAAAAATAAAATCCAATAAAAACACTTCACCAACTGCAAATTTCCACAGTTCTCCAGAGCTGCACACTACTGGGACAGAGTTTAGAGTCCCCCCGGCCCGTCCCACCTCTCCCTTTTTTCTCCTCACAGAGAATTCAAACTAGCAGGAAGATGAGCCCCTGGGAGAATGCCCAGACCTGTTTTTTTTCTGCTGCTGCCAACTGATGGCTGTTGGAGACTGCAATGGATGAAGGACTGAGCCTCAGCCTGAGCAGACAGGCATTCCCTTCACAAAGGTGTTGCCTCAGACCTTTGGAAAGGCAACAGCAGACAGGACCACAGGTACATCCTTCAGAGAGGGGTATGGTTTGCACAGCTCCAAAACACCTCCCGTGCAGCTCAGCCTGCCTGCATGCAGCCAGAAATGCCTCTCAGGTCCAAGGGCTCACTCCCAGCAGGCAGCCAAAAGAGGGTGGAGCCCTTCCTAAACACAGCTCCTAGGAATGCATCAGGTCACAAGAGATGAGAGGCAGCTAGAGATCAAGCAGAGCCCAAGACAGTTTTATTTGCTTTATGAGTAGCTAATCAAAATAATATTTCTAGGATGTTTTTACCACCAAAATGTTCACAAATGAGACCTCTAGTAAAAAAGATCTACACACACAAAGCTAAGCAATCTCCTGAGGTAGGTCAAAAGAGCAAACAGCAAAGGCTGTTTTGTGAAAAGCAAATATGCCACAGAGACTTGGGAGATGAACAGAAATGCAGGCAGAGAAGCACAGGCCACAGATTACAACTAACACCAAAACCTTCAACAAATAACTTACAAGAAGTTTACTGACCACAGAGGTCAGATCCACTCTACTACTCACGGAAAAATGGGTCTGTAACACCAGGCTGCAGCAGCAAGGTGTAGTTTATAGTAGGAAAAGTGTTCTTTGAGGGTGTATTTTACACCAGTACACCCCAGCCCACAAAATAAACTGGACCAGGTAAGTGGTTTTCACCAGCAAAACGCCATCCACATCAGGCCTTGAGCTGATATAAATGCTTTTAGAGATAAAAGAGGAAAGTAAACACAAGAGGCAAGACTTCCTGCAGCACCTAGCTACAGTTATCAGATTTCCACTGCTGCACTGAAATGAACCCACTTTTAGAAGAGTTTTTGAGATCACTCCAGAAGAGCAGGATGACACCATCTTTCAGCAGTCCTGGCTACCTGCAGACAGGGAGAACCCGGACAAAACACCTCCTCTCCTGAAGCAGAGCTGCTGAAGAACAAAGTACTCAAACCAAAAGGCTGTTCTTCATTGTTAATGAATGACTAAGCCGACCTTTACCCTAGACAAAGAAAGGGAATGCTTTTTCCAGGAAGATCAACAGTGATTTCTCTATCAGAAACAACAAATATTTCCCTCGGTGTGGCCGGCAATGCTTTTCTCTCCTTGGCTGGCATTGACACAGAGCACGAAAAGACCTAATCCAAACCATAGCTCAGTCTCAACACTTTCCAAAACAAAAACAAGTGATGCCATTAAACTAAAAGCGTGACACATGCCTGAGGCTTTGCAGAACATGGCTCAAACCTCATCTACTTTGCACGTTGCTCTGGCACACTACTTTAATCCCATTGCTATCAAGTAACAACAGATCGTAGTAACAGGACACTCTTGAAGCTTAATCCACACTATACCATAGGTGCAAATTTCCCAGGGACTGGTTGAGTTACACTGTAATGCTGTAAATGTACTTTCATTCAGCATGTAAACGACCTTAGCTCAGTCCAGTTAGTTAAATTCAAAAACTAATAAAGTCAAATCAAATTCAGCCTACTTAAATTGTGAATACGAGCATCTACACAGGGATTTAATTCACTTTAATCAACCCACTGGAAAGGTTAATTGGATTCATTTTCTTGAGTTACCAACCATGTGTGGACAGACTCTAAGGATGAGATCTTGACCACACTAAAATGGCCAATAACAGTCCTGCTAATGACTTAACAGGACGAACATTAACCCCTAAAACGTCAGCTTCAGCTTTTGTTCCGGTAACACTAAGTGAAGCATTAAAGGATGACAGGAGGTCAAAAGGAAACCCCAGCTGCCTGCACAGGAATAGGTTTTCTACTCTTGGCCAGCTAAATCATCAAATTCACAACTGCTATTTTGTAAGAATTGAAATTTGGAAAAAAAAATGACCAGTGGAAAGAGGAACAAGTTTAAGGAAGTTTAGTTTCTTTTACGCAGGAAACCATTGCTCTCTATTACTAGAGAGTAAATCTAAACTAACTTGATTATGACAGAGCTTCTACTGGTTTATATCACAAATCACTGTCAGAAAGAACAAACTATCTCCTACAAAGCTCTCTAAACCCAAAGCAGCTCCAGGGCACATTTAATTGAGCTCAGAGGCACACGTGTGAGGCAGACAGTGTGCTAGCAGGGGAGCCGAGGCCAGCCCGGCCCCGCAGAAGGTGAATCCGTGCTCTGAGCACAGGCCAAGCCAGCGGGACCCCCGAAAGCGAGGGGGGCACGGGGGTCTGCGGGGCGGGAGCGGCTGCTTGGCAATCCCAAGCTCAGTGCGGGCCAGTCTTCATAAAATACAGTGCGTTAAGTGTCGGTAACCGGGGCCTCAAAATACCACTCCCCGTCAATTCGCCAAATCCGTGGATATTCACAATTCTGCTCCCATTTTTCCAACGGCCCCAGCGGAGCCTCCGACCCCGGCCGAGCCGTAGCTGCCAGGGACGGACGGACAGACAGACAGCCCTGCTGGTCCATCTCCCGCAGGGTGCCCCGGCTGCCTCACCCCCCGCGGGAGCGCAGCCCCGGCCGGCGCCCCCAGCCCGGCTGCCCGGGCGCGGCGGGGGGAGCGCGGCGGAGGCGCCGGCGGCAGCCTCAGCCTCGGCCCCGGCGCAGACAAAGGGCTGCGCCCTCCCCCAGCGCCGCTCCTCGTCTGCTCCCGGGGAGAAGCGGCGCTGCCAGCCCGACCCCCGCCGCTCGCCCGCCAAGGGGGGCCGGAAGCGAGGCCAGCAGAGCGGCCACGGCTCCCTGTCCAGCGGCTGCGGCTCTGTCCAGCGACTGCGCTGCTCCGCCGCCGGCCTCCACCTCTCGTCGCCGCCCGCCAGCCGCCGGACACCCCGCAGCGGCAGCGGGACAGCCCCGCCAGCCCCGGGAACCCGGGGCCACGGCCGGAGCAGGGAGCGCCCCGTCCCCTCCCGCTGACCCGGCTCCCCGCCAGCGCCGCGAACCGCAGCGGCGCCTGGAAATTGCAAAATGATGATGTTTGAGAAAAACCACCCCAAACCAACAGTTTCTCTCCTGCCTCGCTCCCATCTCCCCCACACCGCCCCGTCCCGTCCAGCGACCCCCTCCTCCCCGCGCCGGGGTGAGCCGCACCTTCCTTGACTCCGGGCAGCTTGGAGTGGTCGATGCCGATGCCGGCCATGGCCGGGCCCGCTCCCCGCGCCCCGCTGAGGGCGGCCCCGCTGAGGGCAGCGCGGCGGTGCCGCCCGCGCCCCGCACCACAAAGTTGGGAGCGGATGGAGCCGGCGCGGCCGGGCCGTACGGCGCGGGAGAGCGGACAGAAAGCGCCGGGCGGGGCGGAGCGGGGCCGCCTCGCCGCCCCTCGCCCCCCTTCCGGGGAGGCGGACGGGGGCGTCCCGGGCTGCTTCCCCCTCCCCTTCGCCGGCGGGGCTCGGGCAGCCGCTCAGCGGGACGAGCGGCTTCCGGGGGCAGTTATTTATACATTTGGGGTTTTAAATTTTTTAAATTATTATTATTGTTTTATTGTTTGGCGGAGGTGAGGGTTGGTGTTGGCTGCTTTGAGGCTACAGCCGGGAGGCCGGGGCGGCTGTCAGACCGCTCGGACAGCTCCGGTGCCCCGGCGCTCTCCCGTACCGGGTCCGGCTGCCTCTGCCCCTCATCCCCAAACCATCCCACCGCCGTGCTCGCACTGTTCCGCCGGCCTGGGAGAAGCAGAGGTGTCCCGGGGAGCCTCAGAGCCGCTGCCCGGCGGTGCCACGGCCCCCGCACCCTGTCCCTCAGGGCGGGGGCGGTGTTGGAGCGGGCACCTCTCGAGGCGAGGCGGGAGAGTCCCGGTCACGGAGCCCTGTGGGAGGCCTGCGGACCGGCGGTGCTCTGCCGCACACGGGGTGGTGCCAGCTCTCGGCGGAGACGGGAGGACTTTAGGCTGCTGCCCACCCTGGTTTGCCGGCAGCAAAGAAACAGAACGAGATGATGTGCCGTGGGCAATGGGGAGAAGATAAGAGGAAGAGGATTTGGGGTTTAGGGATGTCTGAGCTTCTCTGGGCTGCGCTCAGCATAACCTCTCATGTCAGCTGTTATGTTTTATCATAATGCGTGAAGCTGAGGACTATGCAAGCAGCAGAAGAAGTTAATATTGCCACATTCGAAATTAGTTGGTCCCAGCATCTGTTCCAATGACCCGTGGCTCCTGTGCCAGTGGTGAGCAGGGGGATACAGAGGCTGAGCCCATTTCCTGCTCGCCCTCTCCAGCAGGCTCGGGGAACTCTGCCCTGTGGGTGACTGGGATGGGAGCTGAGAGGGAGACAGAGTAGGATGTCACATGTCAGATAAAACATCAAAGGGAATAATATTTCCATTTTATTAAAAAGCAAAAACATTGAAGAAAATAACAAAAAAAATTATTTCCAGAAGGTTCGCCTTGTGCTACTCCTGAATTTTCCAGTCCTGTTTCCTGAAAGCTCAGGAACTGTCTTCCGAAATTCTACCCCTTTCAAATGATACTTCACCATCCCCAACATGGGTATGACTGAATTCAATCTGACTGCCTTCACATTCCCTTCAACTTCTTAGCCTCCTGCACAGAAAAAGCCATGGAGTTGTGTGTATTTGTGATCCCTCCTCACAGTGCACACACTTAGTACACCTCTCGTGTGTGCTGGCACTCTCAGAGCTGATGAGCCTCCTGCCTAGAGGGATGTAGGACCCACTTAGAGAGAGGTGAGCAGTGCACAGCTGAGCCCCACTCCACAGGTTCTCCATATGATCCCACAGATGGGGATTAGTCACAGGGTCTTGCCCCTCCAAGGGGCAGCTCACACAGATTATCTCCTGTCACAGTCCCAGCACTGCCCAGCTCCTCCTTCTAATCCCCCAGCCATCCACACAAACAGTACAACTGGACTTCTTGCAAATAATCCCCATGGTTTCAGCCAGCTCTGGGCTAATGAGAGGTCTAAAATCCATTTCTAGTTTCTCCTAAATTAGAGCTTTTCTGAACTCAGATATTCCTCTGGACATCCTTCATCTTTTTCATAATCAAGCTTTTTGACCACTTAATAAGATTTTTTTCTTGGACAAAAATGAGGACAAAAGAAGGGGCCAAGCAACCAGGATTATACAGAAGTGGCAATGAATGTACTGATCTGACATAGGTCACACCTTTCCAAGCCCAGAGTATGGTTTTCTCCTGCCCTTCTCTCATTATAAGTATTCAAGTCAGAGCAGCAGAAGCTGAAATCCTGGAGCATTCACATTTACACAGCAACTTTAATGCAACAGAGCCACTTTATGGCCCTACATTTATGAACAAAGCTTTAAAGCTGTCCATCCCAATGGTCATGCACTTTACTCCACACACACAGCTCTTTGCTCTAGTCTTCAGTAATGAATTTATATCATATTAAGTTGTCTGTCTAGGGCCAAAACGAGCAATATAAATTAGTCATAAATCTGAACTGCATTCAAGAGATTCCATGTTGGGATGATGTGACTTTGGCTATTCTTATGATGAACTGTCCTCCTGCATGTGTTTAACTTCACTAAAGTAAGATCTGGTACCCAGTTCTCAAAGTCACAGCAGAGCAGTTCCTGATTTCAGGTTTCTAATACACAAATTGTGGGCTCGGAATGCCTTCCTGTAGCTATATTTATTTATCTTGCAAGGTCTGCTGAAGCTCAAAGATAGCCAGTGGATGGTGAGCTCTGCTAGAACCTAAGGAAACTACAGGAACATAAAGTAAATGACATTTTGTTCTTGCTGCTGGAAATGTGGAAACACAGGGAACATCTCCAGCTGTCAGAGCACAGAAAGGCTGGAGCAGGCTCCTGGGAAGGGCAATGCAGGCAAAACCCTGTCAACACTGTCAACCTGTTCCCTAAGGCAGTGTATTACACACAAAATATTTTCTTTGCTTTCTTGACAGCAGATTTCTCTCTCATTTTACCTTGATTTTTGAGAGATTATTCAGATGAAGTCTCTGAAATTGGAAGATGGCAGGTATCACTTGATTATAGAAGACCCAAAAATGACCACAGCAGGACTGAGGATGAGAAGGAATTAAACAGGAACCAGGGAATGAGTTACTGATGCAATGCTAGCACTGCAGCAGCATTGCATCTTTGGCTCCTCCAAAGGGCTCCTCAGTGTTGTTGATCTCAAATCACTCTTCCAACTCTCACTTGTGCCGGCAAGCTGCAGCTTCTAGGCAAAAAGCATGACAGGTGTTTGTTCTGAGAGACTGTCATCAGCTTTTCCTGTGCAAATTGTACAGCACCTAACTTGACAAGTAGTACGTGTTGCAGTGGGTAGGTGAATCCCAATAAAGCTGGGAAAAGTAACCACTTCCTTTTATTGAAGATAACAAGACAGTGACCCTTCACTCTTTTATAAAAGCAGGTACTTATTCTCACAGGACCTTCTGTTGGAAGAAAAATCCATATTGTTTCCCAAGAAAAAACCAGAATTCGATCTGACTTTAACTCTTCTCTCATGTAGTAATTTAATTCAGAAGAGGTTTTGCAGGGCACTAGTCCAACCCCCTGCTCAAAGCAGGACTGGCTTCAAAATCTGATGAGGTTGCTCAGTGCCTTCCCCAGGTGAGGTTTGAAGATCTCCAAGCTAAAGATCTCACCACCTCCCACAATGATTTTTCTTCTTATGTCTTGGTGGACTTCTGGCTGTAGCCTGCAGATCTGGACCCTTTTCTTGCACTCTGTGCCCAGTTTGGCTCTGTTTTCCAGCTGCCCCTCTCCACGGCAGAGCACATATACCAGGCACATCTGGGGCAGGGCTCAGACGTGGCACTGCAGCTGCACTGTGCCACCACACAAGTATTAAATGCCAGGGAGCTCCAGCACTGGGCACTTTGCCTACCTGCATCCAGGCATCTGATCTGCCCCTAAACACTGGAGTAAACCCAGACTGTTATGCTGGTTTACACCACACAACAGTTTCCCAGCTTTCACAGCACTGAAAATAGTCCTGAGAGGATGCACAAAGAAGAGGCTGGGATACTTAAAAACAGGAAAAAAAAAAGCAACACAATCTGGACTGGCCCTCAGAAAAGTCACAGTGAGTTTTGATGTGCAGGAGCTGCCAGACAGAGCTTTGGGACTAGGAGCTAGGATTGCTTTATGCTGCTACGATCTTTCTCCAGGCAGGCAGAGACTGTTTTGTGCTTGCTTCTTAAATAAACTGGGCACCTCTCCAAGTCTCCTGCTGTCATTTTTGGTCAACAGGATAACAACAACTGTGAAATAAATTAAGTCTCATCAAGATGTTCACTTTCGACAGAACAGTCTTTGTTGAAGTCTCCTTAATGATGGCAAAGCTCACTTCCAGCTGATGGGGCTGCTGTCCGAACAGACACAGAGGATAATAATCCTACAGGCAGGAACTTGTGCATCCATTAATGGTTAATGCAAAGGGATGGGGAAGAATGGTTCTAGGTCTCTCATGCCATCAGGGACTGCACAAGCCCATATCCAAAACTAGTATGTCAGAGGTGACTGATGCCAGGGAACTTCCTTCTGGGGACATGGGCTCTGGTTTTTTCTCTCCAATGTCAAATTCCTGTATAAAACTATAAAACCCAGTATAGGATTCCATTCAATCTACAGGAAGTCTGAAGGATGTGAATGCATTGTTTCCCCCTGTGATAAATAAAAATCAAGGATGGGGGGCTCAAACAAAACCTGCCCCCAGCCCAGAGCAAGGATACTGCACGGCCTCCCAGGGAGGGAGACAGGTGATGCAGTGGAAAAAACAGACAGGGGAAAAAAATAACACTTAATACATCACCTCCCAGCATTTCTAAGCTAAGACACTTCAAGAGAGGTTTGAAGTCCTGTGCCAGAAGGGGTGGATGAGAGGAAGCTGACATTACAGCATTGGCAAAGAGCTCCAAGAAGCAGGTGTGTCATTTCCGTAGGTAGCTGAATGGTGCCTTTGGGAATTCAGGCTCCCTGAAGAACAAGGAGAGCAGAAGCCTGCAAGGATTAAGGTATTATAAAGCTCACCAGGGGTAATGAATGGGGTGATTGCAAAAATGAGCAGAGGAAACAAACTTGTGCTTACATGTAACATAACGAGGAGCACTAGGAAAATCATGAGCCATGCCACAACAAAAAAAGGAGGTTTTTGACTGTCAAGTTGAAGAGTAACATGTGCAATCTGAAGTGAGATATGCCTTCCAAAAATCTCACTTATAGGAAAGTATTATTAAAATTGTTACACAGTAGGTGAGAGAAGAAGAAAGTAGCTAAATGTGTCATTCCTTACTCTTATGTCAAAAGAACAGAACCCACCAGAATAATATGTTATTCACTTAGTGCACTGCAGGGAGCTGCCTACAAGCCCATGCAATCAAGGCATAAGAAACATAACAAATGTGGCAGCTAGTGATGAAGCACCTTGGTCATTCTCAGATATTCACAGCCACTACTACCTGGATGAAACCTCAACACACTGATGCTGTAAGAGGCAATTTGATGAGGGCTGCATTCAGTGCCATTCTTGCCTAGCAGTGACTTTGCTATACTCCAACCAGTAAAAATTCTAGGTCTACCTAAAAGGATCACCTAATATGATTGCACCTGCCCCATCTCTTCTGGATTAAAAAAAAAAAAATTGCTGTGTTATCCCTTGTGCCAGCTTTGCTTCTCAAGCTGCAGGGTGGTAAGGCATGAATATGTCCTATAACCTCAGCTGGAGCCCACATTTCAAGTCACTTTGTATGTGCAAGTCTACAGCCATAAAATATTGGTGTTCCTTCAACAAAACACCCTTTTGCATGTGCAGAACTCTCACAGAGTGTCAGTAGATCGGGGTGCAAATGAAAAGCTAAGTTAGAAGACAGGCTCTCCAAAAGTAGTGACAGTTTTAAAAAAAAAAGGGCAACATTTATCAATAAACCAAAACACCAGATGGTAACTGAGCATGGAGAGAAGGAAAGGGGAATGACAGTGAAAGCTGGCACTGTTAGCAGATAGAGTTGACCTCCACAACCTTAAAAGTGCCCTTACTGGTATTTTTAGCAGGAAATTACCCAGCCTTGTCTTTACTTAAAGTAATACACTCACAAGCTACATTCATCATCCAGGATGAACTTTGGGCTTGGAGAAGGCAAGTCAGAAGAGAGAGGGGTCAAGCTCAGGGTAAATCTGGTGGTTTAACCAGGTCATACCGGATCATGCCTCTTCAGGACACTGTCCTGGCATGGAGGTCAGATTAGTCCTACACAGGCACACCAATATTTATCATTCAGGAGCATCACTGGAAGTGTCTTTGAGACCAGCAGGTCATGGCACATTTTCAGGCAGAAGATGTTTCCATATTGCCTTCCTCTCCTCACCAGGAACCTCAGCCAAGTCACCCTAGTCAGTAGGGAGGCTGAATCTGGAGGAGGTGCTTCAGCTGAGGATTAAGAGGCAGAAGTGAGAAGTGGAGCATGAATGCTTCTGCTCCCTGTTTTCTCCCTAGGCTGCCTTGTCCCACATCCAATACCTTTAGAGTCCTGATTTACTCTTTCAGTCCCTCACTCCAGGGCAACACTTCGGAGCTGCCTTGTTCTCTGAGAAGTTGAATAGTTTCCTGGCAAACCCTGGACTGGAAGAGAAAGCCAGACAAGCAGCCCAGCTTCACTCCTTACCCTCCCCAGTTTAAACCTCAGGGTTCTCTTTAGTACAATGCCCATCAGATGTGAGCTGATGATGCTTCCCTCTGTGTGTGATCCTTGTCTGCCTGCAGTGAGGTGGCAGCTGAGCTGCTCTGCATTGCCTTGGACCTTTCCCTTTCTCTAAGCAAGGATACAGTTGAACCACAGCATCTAATTTTATATCAGTAACAGGCCAAGAAACAGCTGAGCCCCAAAGACAAGCACATAGAAGGGGGAACAAATTGCATGAGTAAGACTAAAAGCTTTATAAATATTGACTGGTTTTAACAGTCCCCTAAAGAACAGAGAATCTCATAGAATCTTTATAACTACATCTCCCTCCCCATTATGCACTCCCTTCTCCCAGAAAGCTGCAAGGGGAGTTAGTCTCCTTATGAGCACAATATTTTAATTCTTCTCTGCAGTCAAGTTGCTCTGGCTGGGACTTTGCACCACACATCAGGAGGATATCTGAGCATCTTCCAGTGGTGCTTTAAATAACATTCTGGAGTGGGCTTTGCTCTCTCAAGTTGGCTCCAGCATAGAACTGATAGGTTAGAGGAGAAATCAGACATTAAATGTGTAAGAGATGAAGGCTGAAGAGCACAGGGTGCATTTCAGTATCTGCCCCTCTGATTCCTACCAGATAAAGCACAGCTGGAGACTCAGAGGAGCAGACATACAAGAGGATGTAGACAGAAGAGGTTAATAGTAATAAGAGTACAGTGGTAATACAGGCAAGAAAGGCAGACACCATGGGAGAAAGGAAAGACTTGGCTACAGAGGATGGAAACAGTTTGTTGTGCATGTGAATAGACTGAGGGGATAGAGGCATGTGGTGGGACAGGTGGGATCACTAAACCACTGCCTGGGATGGAGAGCAGGATAACTCTTGTCTTTCTGACATTGTGCACAAAGCTCACTTCACCCCTGCCATGAGGGCAGCTCTCTTTTCTTGCCTGCTAAATTCTTACCAACTTCTCCCTCATTTGTTGGCACTATTAATCCCCCATTCTGTTTTTCCCTCTACAAGGTATGTCCACTCCCCATTTCCAAATTTCTTTGTTATTCCTCATCCTCATCTTATTCCTAGGATCATTCTAGGCAAGAAAACAGTGATACATGACTCTCTCCCTATGTACGATAAAGAGAGAAGTCCTGTCTCTACCAGCTGAGCAAAGTAGAGCTGGTAGCAAGCTCTACTTGCAGCAAAGTCCCACACAGTGCAGAGGTTGTGGCACTGTTCATGTGTGCTTTCTTAAGCACCTTAAGTAAAGGCACTTCGCTGACAGGTCCTTCCTCAGCTGGTTGCTTGCTTTGGGATGAAACAAGCTATGGTTAAGCGGAGTCCATAAGACCATGACAAAGCCTTTGGATGCTCATGAGGTTCAGCTGAAACACATGGTGCATGTGATGTTTTATGTGTTCTCAGGAAGCTCTGAAAAAGAGAGAACATTGTGGGGTTTTTTTTCCTCCAAACCCCAAATGTACAGTATACAAAGTGGTCTGGAAACCTACCACACCAAGCTGGCACTGGGAAGTGGCCTTTTTATGTTGTCCTATTTTCAGCAGCTCGACATTCCTGCATCAACTCACTCCATCCCCCCACTGAATTCCACCTGTCTGAGGCTTGCTGTGGACAGCAGGGGTTTCTGCTTTGGGATTAAACTCAGGTTAGGTTATTTGGAGGCTGCAGTCCTACCTTCATTAGAGACAACTGCAAATCCCAAAGCAACTTCAGAGAAACTGGGATTTTATATAACATACCTGAAAATCTTGATTGCTGCAAGATCTACCAATCCATCTGGCAGGGAAGAGGAGTCTATGCACAGAGAGAAGCTGAACATTTTGAGGAAGATGATGTCAGAAAACAGAAAGGGCCAGCTGTTCCCTAAGGAACAGGAAGCCAAGTGCAGTGACAGCAGGACAGAGACCCACCTTGAGAAGGGCAAGCAGGTCAGGATCAGAGACTGCAGCCAGGTTCAGTCGAGAGCCCCTGTGCTCAGGGAAGCCCATGAAGATGAGGCAGATCCCAGGTCAAGATGGAAGTCAATACAATGGTCAACATCAGGCCTGATGACAGCAGTCAGAGACAAACACAGCTCAGTGAGCACCAGACAGGCCCACAGAGATAGAATAAATCCACAGCCAAGCAGGGAAGTCCACTTGCAGGTCTGAGTCCAAATAAATAGGGACCATGAGCAGGCAAATACAGCTGAGCTCCAGACCAGAATTCCTCCAGCATAGCTCTGGGAAAAACAGGAGACCAGGCTGAGATTAAATGGGTCTCATGAGCTGATGGGCAGAGACGGTGGTGAGGCTCCACCTGAGGACACTCAGGACCATTAACACCCTCCAGGCACTGACACTCCTATTCATCTCTCTCACACTGAGAGCTGGTGCAGCTGGATTTGGTGGCACTGCTTGAACCAAGTTTTCTCTGTTCCTGCCCTCTGGGCTGTTGACCCTTGTCAATTTTCCAGTTTGGTTGTATTGGGTTACCTGAAGTCTGAGTTGCTTTGTGGAAAGAGAAACTTCTGCATGAAGGGACAGACTGGGATCATGGGAGGTAGAGATGGAGCTCACATCTTCATGTTCTCGTTATCCTTGAACTCCAGACACAAGTGGATGATTATCAATGACATTATCAGTTATCACACATTATCAATGAGTCAAGTAATAGAAATACTGTGGAGATTGCATTGTTTTCCTATGGAAAGTAAAATCCATAAGAACAATAAAATGTAATATTATTTCCAGCACCTGGACTAATGGGGTAAAAGCAAAGGATTTTTCTACATGGGAGCCTTAGAGAAGCCCAACAGTACAAAACAATTATCCCCTAACTTCAAAAAATAAAAAAATTCCACTAGTGCCTGGAAGAAACTGCGAGGCTTCTCTCCACCAACCCATCCCCTGAAAGCCTCCACTCCTCACAGCATCCAGTCATCTTCCTTCTCAAACATAAATGCTGCATGGCAGTTCCACACCTTCACCAGAGCCATCACTTGAAAGGTCTGGCACTCTCTCTCCATGAGTTGCTTTGGGGGCTGAACAGTTGCAATGATCCAGAACTGAAGATTCTCTGCAGTGAAAGAGGAAATCCCAGGAATAGCTCAACTTCCTGAAAGAGCCTGCCAATAGCCCATGAGATCTTGTATCCAAAGGTAGGGAAAAACAGTCAGAGATCTGTGGATTTTACATAAACTTAGATGAGAAGAAGAAACTCACTTTCTGTATCCAGGCAAAGTCAATTTCACAGCAGATCTCAAGACAAATTGAGATTTAGCCATTTAGGACTAAATAAAAATAGACTTGACCTTCACTTAGGGGTATAGTTTTAAGTCAGAGCTGCTATTTTCCAGACTGGACTCCTGTGCAAATCAAGTTATGGCCTCTGCTTCATGAGAGCTGCTCACTTCTGACCAGTTTGAAACTGGCACCTTAGGAAGATGGAGGTGGCTGGAAAAGTGTTCCAATAGGACATATGTGTCCCTCGGTCCAAACAGAACTTTGTGAAAAAGGTGAACCCTTCAGATAGCTGTCCACTAGTTCCAAAGTCTGAGTTTGGTTAATTTGTACATATTACATCTCCAGACAAAATTTTTGAGTGTTTTCTCAGTAGAAAACTTTTCATTAATGAAAGCATCACATTTACTTTTATAGGCATATCCCACAAAAAAATCTAAGCTTCTCCCCCTCCATTTTTGTTAATTATAAATAAAATAATAAAATATTACAAGGGTTATTGAAAGGCTCATCATTCATTTCCTATCCAAGGCACAGAACGAGTTGTAGGGGGAGCTGGGGACCAGAAGCCAAAAGCCCAAACATGGAAATGATACTGTCTTTTAGTTGAGATGAAGAGCAGGTACCATCAAATGAAGCTATCTTGGGTAATCTGGCATGATGTGGTGTCAAAAAAGCACACACAGTGAGTCACTAGGAGTGTATGTACAAATCAGAGCTTGCCCTGATCCTCTCCCCCATCCCACCACAGGGGGAGTGAGCTGGCAGCTCTGTGGTGCTTGCCTCCTGGCTTGGGCTTAAACCACGACAAGTACAGATGATTCAGTTCTGCAGGAAGAGAAGTGAAGAACAAAGCCTAGCGCTGTTAGTATTACAATATTTTTCTTGGTAAGGTTGTTGTGGAAAAGTAGTAGCAGGTCCCTGATCAATAGTGATGGATAGGCAACAAATGGAAGTCAAACCAAAATGTAGTCATGGCCTGAGAAGACATGGAATATATGCAATGTGTCTCAGCACTTTGCTCTAAAATTATAGAACAAGGCTGTGTAGCCAGAACCAGCATCTGACCTTCCACTTCTTTTTTTTTCCCAAGAAAAAAACTGAAGACTCTTGCCCATCCTTGACGTATTCCATACCTACTGCCAAATCTGCACTCCCCCACTCAGACATAATCCCAAAATAGGGTGTGATGCCTTTCCCGTTGACAAAGCCATAAGTCACAGTGAGCAAGACACACTCAACGTTCTCCAATCAGTTAAATGAAAAGAGCTCTCCCCCTCTGTTTCCCACCATTTCAGTACTCATTATATCTCACATTAATTAATACAGGCACTAGGAAGTGAGATGATAAATTACAAAACCCCATTAACCCGATTCTGTCCAAACTGGTAAAATATGGCAGCTTGTACATTAGACAAATCTTCCTTGCTAACGTGGGAGTCCTCATGCCTGAACTCTGTTAAAGCAACAGCCCCGAAAAAGTATTTTTAATGTGTGTATGTATGGAATGTCTATCAACGTGCGTGAACAGTGCACGCCTGTGGGAACATCAGAATTCATTAGATCAGTCTGATATGAGATACATTGAACAGGTTCCATCTGACTTATGTTACTGGGCTGTTCTGTCCACTCCCAGCGGAGTGAATCATATTGACAGGTTGAATTATATCTCAAGAGATATTTTTCTCCCCTCCTCCAAAGGCCATTTGCAATCACGGCACATCCACTGCCTCTTAAAAGTGAGCTCATCTGGCGCTGGTTGCATTGAAGTCCTCCACCGTGCCTGAAGGAAGGATGCTTTTGGGCTCTGGGAACGTGGAGAAGATGTGGTCTGCCCAGCTGTGTCTGGGAGTGCTGACCATCCTGACCATGGCTCTGTGTGTCCCATCAACACATGGAGACCCTTTTTTACTCCAAGGTAAGCTGGAATACAGGCTACACGACACAGGTAGGTGGTTATCTTTCTGCTTTGCTGCTTGTCATGGCCAATGCAACACTCTCTTCTCTGGGAAAGAAAACAAAATGAACCACGAGCTGTACTGTCTGTTAACATGGGTGCTAGCGAGAGGCTTGTTCATATTATCATGAGCCAAAACTGTCCTTCTGCTCTGCAGCTGCCTCTATGACGCCTTCTGCTAATCACTGAAAATATCAAATCTGGTGAAATCTGGTAAGGGTAGCTCTTTCTCTCCCATAAGAGAATTAAATAAAAAATTAGAATATCAGAGAGTAGCAATTCCAGTATGTACTGTACGAGATTTGACAGCTCATAAATGTCAGTAGTATGGCGATGCTGTACTTTTTTTTCTACACAGAACCTCTTTTTATATGTACTTCTCCCATAATTTTAATTGATCTTAACCTGAGTTTATACTGCAAGGAAATGTCAATCTTAGTGCTCTTTCTTAAAGAGGCTTGGCAGTGGAAAAAAAGAAAGAGCCGCTAAGTATAGGCTTGAAAATAACATTGCTTTTCAAATTATTTTTCCTCTAATATTACCTATTTATTTTTGTAATTACAACCAAAACATTCCCCAGGCCACTCTATATAAATCCTGCTTCTGTTTAGCTTTCACTGGAGTGTTTATAGCGTTAGATTTTTTTTCACTGTAGCAAATCCCCCAAAAAAACTTAAAGTAGCTATTTTGAAATTATAGCTGTCCTTCATACTTAGCAATGAGGTTTATGGCACTCCATGCTAACTGCAGGTCGCTCTGCTCACTGCCCTGGGTTTATTTCCAGAGATCACAATCAGGACCAGCGGCTTCAGCCGCAGCGTGAGGCAGGGTTGAGTCTGGCCAAATACTTGGAGCATCTCTTTGGCCAGCATCCCTCAGCTTCTGCAGATTTATGTGACGTTAGCTAATGGAGCTGATTCCCACATGCTCTTGAGCATCCTTCAGACTCATCTGCTACAACGTTTTGTTTCATGTGTACCAAGAATATTTGCATCCATCCCCTCAGAGGGGTTGATAGCCATATGAAACTACATTGAGGAGAAGTCCTAAACATTCTGGAAGAAAAGAAAAAAAAAGCCTTTCTATATAATTTCTTAATATTTTCCATGGAATTCTGTAGGCATCCTTCTAGGGCTTTGTAGGGTCTCGTGTGGGGTAGAGCTGTTCAGATCAAAGATTTTTTGGAATGCTCAGTCTCCCTATAAAGTCTGGCTCCTATTCTGACATTCTCAACAATTAGTACAACATTCTAGTTCAGGTGACTCTGGAAATCTGTTGAGCAGAGCTGGGAGGGTCTCAGAGCCTTCAGGGCACTGAGCAGCCCCATCCACTGTGTCTGTTGGTTTCTGCTGAACCGTTGACCTTCACAACCACTCATTTGAGGGCATAGCCACAACCACTAATTTAAAACCACTGAGAAAGTGCCCTGAAAAGGCCTCTTAGAGAGCTCTAAATTGCTTCAGGACAGCAGCTTGGGGAGGTTTTTCCTGGAAAAATTCTGCATGGTCTTGCTTTAATTTCCTCCACACTTGAACTCTGTTCAGGAAGAATCCTTCAGAGCAGCCCCAAGGCTGAGTGAGCTCAAGAAAGAGTTCTGGGTGGGGCTGCAGGGCTTTTCATGGTGGTACCCACACCTCAGCACAGTGAGGAGGGACTTCCCACCTCTGTCAGCCCTGGGAAGGTGCATGGAGTGAGCGGGGGAACTCCTGCAGTTTTGAGAAGAGAGGATGTTGTGGGCTCCTGTGTGGCTTTGCAGAGGCGCCCACTCCACCCGCCCTGCAGAGGAGCTCGGGACTGTGTAAATCAAGATGATGGCTCCAGCTCTCTGCAGCCAGTCGTGCTGATGAGGCTGCAGTGGAACTGGCCAGCAGCCCAGGGCTGGCAGGGAAGGCTCTCCATCCCACACCCTTCCCCTGCTCAGCCCTCACTGCCTGGACATTTTATTCTGTGCTAACACACCTTCCTTTTCCACCGAGCTCCTTCCACCCTGATAAGTGCTGACAGGAGACATTTTCCTTCCACTTCTCATCCTTCTTAATTTAAGAGATTAATTGCATCAATTGATTAATTGATTCTTAATTTGATGAGATTGAGAAAGATGTGTTTTATGTGCTGCAGAGAACCGAGTGCTTCCAGAGAGAGAAGACACAAATCATGAGAACACATTGCTGACTCTGCTTCTTAATAAGAAATTTGCCTGGCGGAGGCCAGAAAATATTGGTAAGTGAAGGGGAGGAGAGATCTCTGCTTCTTGAATCTGTGTTTGCATGACTGCAAGGAACCTGCTTCTCAGGTTCTTCAGAAATACCAACTGCTCAGAAAGTGGAAGCAGCACCCAGTATGATGCCTACATGTGATTAATGTCAGATGCTCTCCACCATGAGCCTTTGGGACCTGCTTTTGCAATGCAAAGCAAAGCCTCCAAAACCCATGTACCCTCGATCCCCAGACACTCAAGACTTTGCTGGGAACATGTGTGTGCACATAAGTAAAAACAAGAAAATTTTCTGCTGAGTCCCTGTGGCCCTTCTATCCCTTAGATGTTGTGTGCATTGCCTGGGGCATGGACCAGCTTTGGGAGTCACCTCTCTGCCCACACCCCACACAACCCCGTGAGCTTTTGAGAGACAACAGCATCTTGTTATCATTTGGGGCAGGGGGATGTCACCAAGATTTTCCAGTGAGATCCATTGGGGTCAAGTGTAGTTTGGGACAAGGACAGGGGGAGCTCCTGTCTGGCCTAAGGCCCTGCTGCTGCTGGAGGAGGTGGAGACAGCTGGCTTTTCCCACACAGCCACCAAAGATGGGCCAGGGAGAGGCTCCTCCTGCCTGTGCTCTGTGAACAGACACCAAATTTAAAAACCACCCATCTGTGGCTAAACTCAGACCTGCTGAAGAGAAACTTGGGCTTTCCCTGACATGAGGCACAGCGATCACAAGCACCAAATGGATTACAGAGGTCAGCTATTCCCACGGCCACTGCAGCCAGGGGAGGGCTTGGGCTGGATGTGGTGGTCTCAGAGCAGGAAGCTGCCCTTCCCTGTGAAAACAGCTCAGAGGGGCCCAGCAAAAACCTTGTTATGAAAATCCATTTATCAAACTCACTCAGTGCTCTTCCCCAGACCCTTGTTAATGCAGCAAGGCAGTGGTTAAACAAGCTTGGGACAAATAAATAAACATAAATAAATCAAGCCCTTATACTAACAAAGGCATTCTTCTTGCAAAGGGGATGCATTCAAGAAATAACATTTTTATGATAAGTTTATGGATTATTGCACTTATTACTCCTAGAGGAAAGGCTGCATTTTATGCCAGACAATTGAATATAATGAATCTCTGAGCAGAGCACAGACAGAGGATTTACAGCAGGCAGTTTCTCAAAGCTTCATCCATAAATTAACTTCCTTCTCCCTGTCTGAGATAATCTGTTCCAAATTTCAACTGCTGTTCATTTGGTATTCATAGCAGTCATTGGCCAAACTTACTTTGCAAAAAAATCAAGCCAAAACAGGCACTTGAAACTCTGAAAGAGGTAAAAATGTTAATAATAATAATTATTAAGTGGCACTTTTTGCTTATAGATATGTCAGGGTCTGTCTGTCTCTACCGTATGGGTATGTAAAGATATACATAGGAGGAGTCTGCCTGAGGTCATTGCTGATAGTGCCAGGAACAGAGCCCACACCTTCTCATTCCATCCCCATCTCATCTCTCAGATTGAATCCTGATGTAATGGATTTGCTTAGGAACTGCTGCTTTTACTGTTGGATGAATATCAGAAAATATTCAGGATTTTTCAACAAAACTGTTCCTTTCAAGAGGAACCAAGAAGGCAGTCAGCTCTTTCTTGGCACCCTCCTGCTCAGTTTCAAACGTTAAAAAAAAAAAAATAATAACCCCAAGTCTGGCAATGTGTCTGTGTGCTGAAGTCTTATCTGAAATCTGAAATCAAGGGGAATTATGTCTTAAATCCCCCTGATGATCCAGACCAATGCCTGCTGCCACACTAGGAAGAGAGAAAAGAGGCAGCTCCAGGGCTGTTTTTTGGTTTGCTTGTGGGGCCCAGCAAAAACATTCTTTAGCTCTTTCCTGGCTCTTCTGCTTATTTTACTGCATTTTTTCCCCAAACTAGCACTTAAAACCAGCTGATCACTTTGCACTCCCCTCCCAGGAGCGCTACTGTAGCCAGACACTCAGCTTTGACTGAACTCATCTGTCTCATTAAAAAATTAACTGGTTTTGACATCAGTTTGGGTCTGGAATAAGGTACCTCAGTCTTCAAGAGCAGTGGGACTGAAATTCCCCACCCCTGCAGCTTTCCCTATTGCTATTCCAGGCTCTTCCCAGTTCAGCTGGATGTTTCAAATCCTGTTCTTAGGCATCTAACTCTCCCCTCTTTCTGCATGGGCAGCTCATTCATCCACCTGCATAGTTTTTTTGACAGCAGTACAGTACTGACTAGCCTTGAGATCCCTAAGTCTGATCTGTGAGGCTGGGCCCCAGGTCCTCATGCTTCACTAAGGTTTAGAAGTGTGGAATCTGTGCACTTATTGCTATGTGACTTTTCCTGTTGCTCCACTCTGCCAGCCTGGATCTTTGCTGACTTATAAATCAGTGAGTTATGCTAGGCTAAATTTGTGTCTTCTGACTTCTGCCTGCACGGGTGATGTGAGGATAAACAAGCCTTAAAGGAAGCAGTGGGATTTCATATAAAAGCCAGTGACAAAAAAGGCCAGCATTAGAGATTTGCAATTAGCAGGTTAAAAATTAAAAAGCAGCAGAGTTTCACCTGAATTGGTATCACACAGTAAGTGACCTCATTGGGCCAATTCCCCTATGGCCTGGTGAGCAGTAAAGAAGCCTCCCTCATAATGGAGAATTAGGATAAGGTCCCATAGGATTCAGCAGAAAAAACCTTATTTTCTCTCTGTTTCTTCTGTCATTCATTTGAAGATCACTAACAGGAGTTAAATGATAACTAGGTCTTTGCTTGTTGACCTCTGGAGAGGAATGAAGGAAAAAGTTTTTAATGAAAAATGAAGGAAAAAATGTTTTTAATTTGAGCTTCAGGAAGCAATGCAGATACTGATGTTACTCTTTTCCCTCTTGCAGACTGGGAGCTGGCAAAGAAATTTGAAGAGCTTGAAGAGGTGAGAGGAGCAAATGCACAGATACATAGATGCATGTTCTTTCTTTCATGGGTAGTTAAACAATTGTGTAAACTGTCTTTATGCCCTATCCTTCCATCTTTGCATCCTGCCACCCTTCTGCCTGCTGCTGTAATGTAAGCATGGATGGAGAAAAGGGAAAAGCAGAACCTGGCTAGACAGCTGCACAAGCTGGAAAAGGTGAAAAGAGAACAGGGCTGTAGACTCGTGCAACAAAAGCTGAGCAGTTCCTGCCTCTGTCACCAGCGAAAGGCCAGTGAAGGCCAAGCCAGGAAAGAATAAAGCACCAAAGGAAATCTCCATAGGAGAAAAGGGAGTGGGAAGAGGAGGTCATGCTGCCTTGTATGAGCTGGCTGCATCAGGTAACAGGCTGGAGGGAAAGTCACTGCCAGGCAGTGCCTCTTACTCGCCTTGTAAGAGTGGCCCTACTCAAGGTCAGAGCCCTGCTGAGCTGATCAGAGCATGCATACAGAAATAGAGCCCCATCCTACACACCCACTGCCCAGGAACAGGGAAAGGTCTGCAGCAACCTTGGCATGGCTCTTACAAGCAGTGGAAGTGCTTTTTTCCCCTTCTCAGGCCAGGTCCAGCTGTTCCAGCTGTTTGCATGGGTGCTGGAGGTCCTGCTAAGTTCCACATGACCCTTTAATTTCAGAATGAATCCCAGTGCATCATGCCAGACAGGAGGCTGCCAGGCCCTCCACTAGCCTCTCACTCCAGTGCTGAGGGACATAAGCTCTGACTGTTTGAGAACAGCTCTGCCAGAGCAAAAGTCAGGATGGTGGCTGTAGATGTTCCCAGTCCACAAGAAGAGAGTAGCTAAAGATGAAGAATTGCAGCAGACTGTCCACATTATAACCAAGGGAAGGTGGCAAGAACTGTGAGGGAGAGAGAGGAGGGACAGCCCAGAGCAATGGAGAAGCAATGTCCTCTGCTGCAGTGTCTGAATGCCTGGGGACTTCATGTCCCAGCACTGTCCTGACTCTTAGTGCTGCAATAACCTTGCACACAGCCTCCCTTCCACAGGGACTTACACCTAGGGTGGAGGGAATGAGCATGGAGTGCCCACACCACTGCCACCAAACACACAGCTTGATGAAGGAGGGCATGAGGAGGTGTGAGTGCTCCAAAGGCAGATCCTCTGGGAATGGTCCTGCTCCAGGGAACACTCTCACCTTCCCAGTGAGGCTGCCAGCCAATCTACATCCAGCTCCTTTGCCCTGCATTTCCCAGCACTCTGTGGAGCTCCTCATGATGGGGCCCTTGTTTACTGCTGTGTTTCTGTTTAAACAGCTGGAGAAGTTGAAGGATCAGCTCTCAGCTGAGGATGGGTCAGAGGTGGCCTATGCCTTGGAAAGTCTCTCAGCATCCCAGCCCAAAAAACGCGGTAGGTTTTGAGTTTGAGCCTTGCAGCCATCCTGTCCACCCTCATTTCCAGGGCTTCCTTTCTGCAACAAAAACAGTCACAGTAAACAAGCCCCAAATATGCTGAAAAGCAGCTGGTTGGCAGCTTTTCAAGCAGCCCTGGCCCTCTCTTATGGCTGGCTGGTTTAGCAGCTGCTGAGAAGGATTGTGTCCCCCAACCGTGTCTGCTGTGGAGGCAGATACAGCAGGTCTGCACACCCAGGACCTCATGGAGGCAGGCAGTGTCACATCCTGCTTTTCACAGAGGGGTGTCGGGTCATATGAGCCATGAGTGCCTGCCCTGGAGGAGGGCAGTTCTGCATGAACACATCCCCACAGTGCACCCCTCCTTTGCTCTGGCCTCAAAGCAACTGTTGGAGGCATAATGAGGCATGTGGACTGCAGGCATTCCCCTCTGCCAAGGTCAGTGCCTCCCCACAGAGAAAAAAGGAGCACTTGTCTGCTGCTGAAAAACAGCTAAAAAGGATGTGGAAATCAACCAAGAATGCAGGGAGCTAAGATCTGGTATGTCCCTCAGTTGGTCTCCCAGCTTTGTTTGTCCAGTCTGTATCCAGTGGCTCGGGAGCATTTTGCACGAGTGCTCCTGTGAAGCTGCCCCTGACAAGGACATGGACAATGCTGCTCATGCTGGCTTTCAATGGATTCCTCCACAAAGTTGTAGCAGCTGTGAACCAGAAGTCACTGATGACAGATCTGGCCTAAAACCAAAAGAGCTGGTTCTGCCCTTAGCCCACATGCTCTGTGCACGTGGAAGCTGAGAGCTGCCACAGAGCCAAGAGAAAATCCCTTTGTGCAAGGCTTGCTTGGATGCTTAGGTGATCCTTAGGCAATATGCAATTTGTAAGCACCCCTGGAGGCTGTCATTAATTTGGCTAATGTAATTCATGCCCCCACCAGTCTGGAAGGTTTAATGTAGATAAAGCTACTTCCCGTTGCCAGGTTTAAATCAGATTCTGACAGAAATGAAAGCAGGGAATCTTTGTCTTCATCTAAAGTCCTTCCGGTCTGGGAGGAGCTCGTGTCTCAGCATGAGCACTGCTGATTCAGTAGGAGTTTTCTTCCAAGATCCTGCTTTCAAAAACCAGGTATAAATCTCTTCTCATACTTGAGGAAACAGGAAATTCACATGGGATTCATGCTGGTTGTGATACAGTTACTTTTTCCAACACTAAAACATACATCCTTCCCTAATTTAGTCTTAGAAGATTCTACAGAAATCCATGTTGATTTTAAGATGGTTGATAGCAGAGTGGTAGTGACTAGATTTAAAAAACTAAGAACCAGATCTAATCTCTCCAAGTCAGCATCCGGCTCTTCCAGTCAGCCACACACCTCTGAAGCAGCAAAACTGCTGACCAGTAGACAGGAAAGAAAAAGCTAGTTCCTGACATTGCTGAAGTAGAAGAAAATGATATCTTTTAAATAAAGCAACATGAAGACAACTTTTAGACCCCATGTTTACACTATGAGCACTAAACTTTTAGTTTACACTAAAAGAAACACCTTCTAAAAGTGTTATATGAACTCAAAGCTGGTTATTGAGATGTGCCCTGAAAGCACAACGCTGGCTGCATGCTCCAGCTCTCTCAGGATGTGGGTCTTTTGAAACCTTCTCCAGGGCTAGAGTGGGAAGCTGGAAAAAGTCCCTTGTATGCTGACATCTTTCTTTTGTATCCCTTCACAGCCTGCTTTTGGAAATACTGCATCTGAAGGCTTGTCAGGACTGGAGGATGAAGATGAGCCCTTCCCCAAACCGCCTTGCTGGGTATTAACATGTTGAGTTTGTCCTGTTCCCTCATCGTGCTGCTATCTGGAAGCCATCCTCCATGAGTGCACCACAGCCAAGCCTGGCAGGGACTGTGACAGGAGCTGGCAGCCCACTGCCACTCTCTGCTGTTCCTTTCTTCCAGGTTTAACCTGCCATGATCTTCTGCTCAGAAGATGCTTCCCAACTTTCTGTGCTGTCCTGTGTGTGCCATTCAGGCTGCTGCCACTGCACATCCTCCCCCTTCTCACCAGTCCCCTGAGGCACTGAGCACTAACTCAGCTTCCCCGGGCTTGGGGCTCTGCCCACACCTGCAGACATTGCTCTCAGCGGTGTCTGGGTTTCCTGTCACCTCCTGAGCAGGTCTGTGCTGCCCTGGTGGTGCTGCTGGGACAAGAAGACAGGCTGGGTGTGATGTGGAGGGCTCAGGGCCGGATTGCTGAGCCAGAGCTGCTCCTCGCCATGTCCCACAGTGTGCAGAGGGGAGGGCAGGCAGTGAGCTCTGGATCCTTTGGATACCATTCCAATAAAGATTTTCTGTTGCACAGAAGCATGTGTTTCTCAGTATTTGCTTTCTCAGCCCCTGCAGGGACCCAAAGTGCAGCACATTTCCCTTGATGTTGGCTCCTGTTACCTTAATGGTTCATGTGGAGTTCACAATGGAAGAAAGGCTCCCATTAAACACCTAGGGTTTTACTGTGCCTGAGAAACAGACCCTTCCTTTTGACCAGGATCAGGAATGAGAGCTGGGTCTTTTTCATAGCTATTTATGGGGTACTGTCCTCATTGGACTGGACTAGACCCAATGGTCTCTACCTACTCACCCCAAAAAGATGTTTTGAGCAGAGATTTTTTGTTCATCTGGCTGGTCAATGCAGGTGCTAGCTGGCCTTTTCTACTGCAGAATTATATCTGTCCTGTCCAAAAGGAAAAAAATCACAATCCATTAGTGATTCCTACATAAATTCATCTCAAGTCACATTACTCACATTTATTTGCAAAAGCAAAGGACCTCATTCCCGAAAATGTAAATTCAGAATAAATCCCAATGTTAACTTTGAGGTTTCCAACAACCTAAACGAGAGCAGGATCAGGTAGCCACTGTGAATGTATGGAATGACTTTGACTAGCATTCAACTGTCTCTGCAGCTCTGTTGAGCCCTGTGATTTAACTGCAGCTTGCATATTAGATATTCTTCCAAATGTTACCTCTCCCAAAGCTGTAATTGCCATCCTACACTCATTGCCTTGGGCTCTGGCAAGGAGCACACCTTACCACAGCAGTACCTTGCATGCACTGCATTAACAGGAGACCTATTCATCCTGCTGCAGGCCAAAGCCAGCATCTAGGGAATAAGGCCAGCTTGCTTGATTATATCAGTGAAGTCTAATGACATGCAAAATACAGTTTCCTGTTACCATTAGTTGTTTGCTATTTCTTTAGTGGTGATTCAGAACCCATTTCCCATTTGTTCTTTGTTGCTTTTGTGTGAGTGAAAAGGTATGTGGGAACACACTTTCACATACCCTCACACTGGCACCAAATCCAGGAAAAAATTGTAACCTATGAACAAGAATAGTCTCTGTCTCTCTTTAAAAGTTTGGTGCTCCAGCTGAAAGGGAGGTGTGTTCCAAGAGTTACACTGAGTGCCCCAAGGTGGTGTTGAGCTCAGATGATTTCAGCTTGCAGGAAATCCCAGAGGAAGGAAAGGCTGGAGCAGCAGGCTCCATCTGCCACCTGCTTGCTGTAGCCATGCCTTCCTGAGCCGGTGTGACAGCTCGTCAGCAAGTCAGGAAAACGAATACTGTGTCTGCAGATATTTAACAGCTTGCTCTGACCCTGGATAGGAGTTCCCTGGAGTGCAATGCATCATGCTGCTTAGTAGTGATTTTCTGCTACATCCTATCAGTGCGGTTATTTAAGTGCTTGTGGTACCCAAACTACCCCCTATTTCCTGGCAGGCACTTTATCCTGCTGTATTAGCTGCTTGTGCTGCAGACATCAGCATGTATTGAATGCAATTTATTAACTAATTAGAAGCAGAGGTGGTGTTGTTCCCCCCAGGCTTACCCTCCACATGGCAGTGTGGGGGTCCTGTCCTTTCTCCTAAACACACAGAGCAGAAACCCTTCTCCTCCAGAGAGCAGCTGCTCACATCCTACCCATGCTTGGGCAGTCACTCTTGCCAAAGTTAATGACCCACAGGCAATAATTAAAGGGATTTCCCTGAGACATTCTAGTAGATCATGTGGATTTATTAGGAGAAAATCCTCACAGACATCTGAATAGATTTGCAAATCCAGGCAGCACAGGGCAAGTCTAGTGTGCAACGGTGCCACAGTTTATCCTCATTTCACATTTGCTGATCTCCATGCTGTGCATTATGGCTGGAGCCATCCTACATTGACTAAAATACCAAATTGTGGTGTTTGGTCTTTCACACATCATCAGATTTCCAGATTTTAAAGAGTGCTTCCTGAGCCACAGGAAGTCTCAGTGTGCTCAGTGATGGATGAGGCAAAAGAACAGAAGGACTGTTGCTTTCTCCCAGGTAATCCACACAGTAGGATGGAAGCAGGACTGAAGCTTCCAGCTCCCAGTTCTACCAACACCACCAGAGACCCCTCTGTCCTGCTTTGCTTTCACATTTCCCTTCAGATGAATGTAATTTCTGCACATAACTTTCAGCCTTTAAAACCATACGTTTTTTTTGAAGCCCTGGCTAATACCTGCCAATTATTAAATACTTCTATGATCCAGCAATGCCTTTCAAAGCTGCTGTGTTTGCGCTAGATTCCTCTGGTCTCAGTCTCCAAAAATGTGTCAGGCACTGACTCTGTCCATGGTTCTTTTGACTGGCAGCTGTTTGAGTGCTCAGGTCACCACTTCCATAATCTGCCCGTGCCCCATACATACGGCTGCCCTGCAAGCAGATTATCTGCAGCCTGTCTGGATGAGCTCAGTGCAAGATAAAAGTTCCCTAAACTGCAAGGCAGGCTCAGGATGGATGGTGGCAATGCACTGCAGAGGGCTGCCTGGGACTGCATTTGCAGGCTTGCTTCTAGCATGGACTGAAACTCTTGAGTCAGGCAGTCTACATGCACCCACTGAGCCCAGCTCTCAGACCCTTCACCTGGAAGCTTAAAGGCAGAAAATTAGCAGTGTGACCAGGGGACAAGCAGGAAGCAAAAACCCAAGATCATCACATATGGACTTACAGGCTTTCTTTGTTTATCTGAATTTTGAGATCTTGGTCTGGAAAGCATCTGCAGTGCTTCACCTCACACACAAGCATGGACAGCTCACCCACCGAAGGGAGAATGATCTCCGAACTCAGCTGCAGTGCTCTGGCAGATGGCAAAGATAGGGACACCTCACTGGTTTGTGCTGCTGCTCTCAGCAGCATCAGCCTACAGTAGAAATATCAATAAAAGTGAAGTTTCTTGCAAATTTTCTATGCCTGAGCCAGTCTTGGTCTCTGAGCAGGGCTGTAGGCGAGGAGGAAAATGGGAAAGGCCCCTGTTATGTCTGAGCACATGAATGAAAGGTTACCTGCCCTTCTGAGTGGGAGCCTCGTCTCTCACCCTGGCTGAACCAGGGCAATTGTCCCAAAGTCCCAACCCTCACAACAGCTTTTCAGTCTCAATGATTTCCCAAATACTTTTTTTTTTTTTGGTAGCTGTTGGCCAGGTGCTTTGTGCCTCATACAAGATCAGGAAATTAACACTTAATTCCCATCTCCAGCACTGCTTCCTGCCTAACACAGGGTGTGTTTGGCAAGAATAAGGGTTTTTTTCCTTAATCCTGCATAATCCCTTTCTCAATGGATCTTCTTTTGCAATGCTAAGGATGATTTATACCCCAGAATAGCAATCTGAGGAATTTAGCTGATATGAACCAAAGTCCAAGAAGGAGAGAGAATGTGAGGTTTAGAAAACACCAGCTAGGAATCTGAGCATTGAGATGTCAGCAGAGAGCTCTTCTCAGCTGTATTTTATAATCTGGAAAGAAGTGAAAAGAATGAAAGAGGATTTAAGATAACCTGTTTTACTCTGAAATGGAGAGGACATGTTTACATTTTACCAGAGTGAGAAATACTTGAACTTTTAGAGCTGGATTCTGACCATGCCCCATGCACACATCAAGAGGCTAAAATAAGGCTTATGATGCAGGTGGCCTTGGAAGTGGATGACTTCATATTTGGACACTATCCTATGTTATGCATAGGGAGGAGTGAAATGTATTCATCAACTAAAAGTCTCACCATGTTTCAGGATCTGCCATATGATGAAAACATGTCTAAATATGGTGCAGAGATAAGAGAGAGATTACTCAAAGCATCAGGACAAATACTAAGGTCTTGTCACTGTTCTTATTCATACTAACTCCTAGTGAAGGCAGCAAACATCTCCACCCAAACAGCAGTTCAAAAGCATTCTAGCTTTGTCCCATAACTGTTATATCCTCCCTTCATCTACTGATCAGCTCCCCTCCAGAAAGAAATGTGCAAAGCAAACTCTCTGCTTTTCATGGACTGCTGTTGGCATCTCTGAAAGTTTTATTTTCAATCCAAAAATCTCAGTCCTGCCTAGGATAATAAAATTCTGCAAATTTAACAGATAAATGCCATGCAATAAAAATATATACATATTCTCTGTTCCCTCCTACCAGTGACACTGTGCACAGCTGTGAGAGCATTCTGACCTGTTGAACTGAACATGTAATTATTTGTAAATGCAATATTTGTAAAATGCAACTTGAAACAGATTTTGCAGGAGGTCAATTCCTTGAGTGCTGTATCATTAGGCAAAGACAAGACTTGCTGTGAGGCATCTTCCAAAACTCTGTAATGTTTCCAATACAGCATCACTCATTCAGAATAGAAGCATCTGTAAGCAAAAACAAACAAAAAAAAAAAAGACAGTAAACATTACATTTTCCAATGTCAGGAATGCAAGGCTTGGTCAAACACACTGTAAGGTAGAGTGGAGAGAATTAAAATGTTAGGAATACTTGTATGCCTGTAGAGAGGTACTCAGTGGGAAATTAGGGCATTCCATGTTGTAAGAAGCCATCATTCTCTAAGCCACTCCTCCCAAGCCTGCTGGCATGATTGAGTACCTCCAGCAACAGAGCACACCTGGGTTCTCCAAGCCTGCCCACAGCTGGAATGCTTTGGCTCACCTGCAGGAGCTGCTAACCCCTGGTGTTGCCGAGGTGGCTCACTCCAATCCGGTCCAGAGGAACTCCAAACCTTCTCTTAGGCAGCTCAAGCACTTTCCTGCACGAGGAAAATGAGCAGAGAGTGGGGGAAAAAAATGGGAAAGACATCTATGAATAATCAAGATGTTACTACATGTTTGATTCCTGCCTTCATCCCACTAACACCTTATTGTTCAGATAGAACAGTGTGCAGGAACAGCCAAAGACATGAGTGTTTAAAAATAAGATGCTGCACTTGTCTGACAAAAGGCTGCAGTTGCAGCTGTTTTACAGACTGGCTGAGCTTGATCCACCACCCCTGTTTTTATTTGGCAGCAAACTAACTTCACAGGTTAACTGCTATTCATAAAAGAAAGGTGATACACTGCATTTATAAAGGGGAATTGTTTCCTGCACAGTATCACACACTGCAGGTCACCCGTTACCTGGGTCTTTGAAAGCTCCAGGGCCAGCTGAGGCTAAAATTAGCAAGGAGGTAGAAAGTATTGCTCAGTAATAGAGGGGATGAGTCAGAAGTGCTCTAACAGGATTTTTCTACAGGTTCTTTGGCAATGTATGTTCATCAGAATTGTATAGGAGCAGTCCTTCAATGAGATTGAAAACGGGAAGATTTTGGTGTTGAATTTTTTTCCTGTATATGGTAAATTTCCTGACAATTTGATGAATTAGGGCATGAGGAATGTGTGAAAGAATTTCTACACAGCAATATTTTTTTTGCAATTATTTTTATATAAAATAATGAGTTTTCCCATCTTATTTCAGCATTTTTGGAGCATTTTTTTCCACCAGCAGAAGTTTTATTTTAATTAGTTGTGGAAATGGCAAGAATTCCTGCAGCTGAGAACAACCTCAACTTTTGCCCTCAGAAATACTTGTCAGTGAAATGCAAGTCCAAGAGAAGCCCTGGAAGATTAATTCTTTATCAGTCCTTGCTGAGGAACATAAATAAAAATAAATTTTGTTCTGTAAGTTGGCAACTGCAAAGTAACAAGCAGGAGAGAATGGTGCAGTGCACTCGAGTCTAACTTTGTGCCAGCACTGCTAAGCTGCCTCACCCTGGGGCTTTGGGGCTGTGCACACCCACCCAGAGCCCCTGGGCTCATGTGAGCAGCTCCTTCCCTCACAGCTCTCTGCAGCCCAATTCCAGCATCCACAGCCCTGCCAGCTCTGTCCTGGCTGCTTGAGCTCCGGGATTGGGAATTGGGGGTGTACCTGTGTGAGGGGAGCACCACATCAGTGCTGCGGAGTTTGAGAGCATCACAAAGGAAGGAGAGCCTTTTGTTCGGCCTGTCCCTTCCTCAGGTATCCCTGCCCCCAGCCCGAGGGAAGGCAAAGGGAAGGAAGGCCGGGATGCTCAGCCTGTCACCTGGAGGGAAGCGCTGCTTTCCCCGCAGGTGGGGAGGCACAGGGGGACACTTGGGCTGTCAGAGCCATCCTGAGCCCGCCTGGAGAAAAGGGGAGGTAACTCCTCGGGATGGAAGGGGATGGAGAAGGTGAGGCGAGGCGGTGTTTCTGCCCCGGGAGCAGTGCCACTGCCATGCTGGGTGCTCAGAGCAGGGATGAGGAGGTGTGTCAGTGAGCTGTACCGGGGTTCAGAGCGGGGATGAGGAGCAATGACACTGCCATGCTGGTTGCTCAGAGCAGGGGTGCGGAGCGGTGCCGGGATGCGGAGCGGTGCCGGGATGCGGAGCGGTGCCGGGATGCGGAGCGGTGCCGGGATGCGGAGCGCAGCCCAGCGTCCCCTCTTGCGGCCGCCCGGCGCCACGGCAGCCCCGCCACTCTCCGCTCCGCAGAGCCCCCGTGCCGTCGCGCACGAGGGACAAAGTGGCTTTTTCGACTTAAAACAGCCTTGTCTAGGATTCCCGCAGGTTCTTTCTCCTGCCTCCTGCACGCTTTCCCCGTGCTTTCCAAAGCGCTACAAGCCGATGCTGATGCCGGACCAGGATCTGGGCTCTCCTGTCATCGCTGGGTGTCACAACGAGCTGTGAAGTGGACTGACATTTGATCTGCTCTTTTCCAAAAGTTTCTGCTTTGTGCCAGGCACTGCACACACTGCACTGATTCGGGGGGCTCAATCTATTGATCAGCTCTCCCGAATTAATTTCCTGTTCTCCAAAGGTGACCGGCTCAGCTCGTACAGGACTGAGCTGCTATCTGCTGGCTGAGCCACTGGGACAGGGTGCTCAGCCTCTGTCTTACTCCTCCAAGTGCAGCAGCCTCTGCCAGTTTCTATCTAAAGGTACTTTTCTATCAAAAGCTTTCTTTCACAGCAATCTGTCTGATCTGCAGTCCGTGCTGCTGGTGCTGTCAGGCTGTCACTGCAGTGATCAAAGCAGCTCAGGTGGTTCTAATAAATGGCTCAACCCCAAACTTAAAAGGTAAACAGCGCCCCCAGAGTGATAATCCCAACTCAAAACTGCAAACTGTGCTGATGCTGCTGGGAAAGGGGGAATTTTGTGCAGCATATCACTCATTTTCGTGAGCTCATTATTCAGAGACAAACTGTTTTTCACCACCATTTTCCTTTTTGCTTTTTGTTTGCTTGCTTTTTGTTGTTGTTTTGGGGAATTTTTTGTTTGTTTCTTTGTTTAGGTTTCCCCTTGTACTGCATATAGAATGAAAGATTTCCATCCAAAAAAACCATGAGAAAAATTTGGAATACCATGTACCTTTGCAAAAAAGTATAGCTTAAAAAAACACCTTTTTTTTTTCTTTGCCTGGAAAGGGAAAGCATGCTAAAAAGCAAATGAAGAGTGAGCTGATTTTGATATCTTGAAGAGGCAGACAGAACAGAATAATTCTACTTAAGGTTTTAAGAATTTTGTATTTTATCACTTTTGGCTAGAGCCAAACAGTCCTAGTGGCATACTGAGTGGATAAATGGAAAAACAACAAGAAAATATTGCAAAACTTTGTTTGAAAAAAATTCTTGTAATATTGACTGGCTCTCGTGAATACTTTCCATTTCCAGATTAAGCTTTAAGCATGTTATTAAATACTTTGTGGCATTAGGGATTCCATCCAAGAGAAGACAGTTACCAGAAGAGCAGAACAAGACAGGCAAGCTCTCTCAGACACAGGAACAGCCCCTAAAGCTGTGCCCCAAACTCGCTGTCTCTCCCCAGCCACAGTGAGCATCATTCTTTGCTTAGCCCTGTTATAAACAAATTTATCTTCAAACACACATTGCTGCATTGTTTAAACCCTGGTTTATCCAAAGCTAATGGAGGTCTTGAAGCTTATTCTACTGTCTGCCTGCCCATTTCCATGATGTGTCCTCCATCTTTCTGTTCAAAACATCCACTCCACCACACCTTCCTCCCATCCCAGCCTCAGGAGCACCCAGCCCTGCCCTCTGCTTGTGAACCTCAGGCACTTTTCTTGCTTTAGCAAAGCTCATGGTCAGAAATGAAGTGTTAAACTGAGTGTTAGTTCAAACCAGTGGAAAGAAGTGTACTGGAAAATCACAGGTACTGGGATGTTGTCTGGTAGCTGTGCAGCACTGTGGGGATAAATGAGCTGGTGAATGTATTGTACATCACAGCTGAAGGGTGACACACTGTTTGAAAGGTTTCTGACCAGAGGCACCTCACAGCTGACCAGCAAACATGCTGAGGGCTAAAGCTAACCCATCAATGTCCAGAGCACCTAGCAACAGCCTTCCTCCACCTTTATCACTGGCAGGAGCATTGAAGAGTTTACCTCTGTTTGCCTTTAGCATCCACAGAGGATGAAGAAATTCTGTCAATGGGGGAGCCAAATCCTGGGAAGCTCCTTTTCTTCTTGGTCTCAGTCACCTCGTTCTCCAGAGACACCAAGTCATCAAGAAGGAACAGTTTGGCTGCCAGGCTGGTGGCTGACTTCTCTTCACTGGCAATGGGATGGTCTCCCACACCCAGAGCAGCAGAAGGCTCCAGAGGCTGCAGAAGAAAGCAGTAAAATTTCAGTTTGCTGGCTGCTCAGGTCCCAGGATAAAAAAAGAATTCAACCAGTGTCATAGGAGCAGTCCTGTAAATAAAGAATTACCAAGACACTCACTGAAATTGGGACAATGTTTTAAAACAAAGTTCCTTGTCTGGAATGTGGACTGTTTCCATCGACAGGATTTTGCTGTCAAAGTCTGGAATTTTTTTTTATAGAACTGAACTTGCTTTCATTATTATTGCAAGAAACATTAAAATCTGTTACTTCACAAAGCCTATTTCTTCAGGCCATTCCACTATCCTTATCTCAGCACTGTGATCAGTATCATTTATAGCATGAGCTGACTAATATAATTATTCTGAAAAATGCAGTCACCATTGCCTGACTCCAATATCCATTCTGATAGTTTTCAGGGAACTGTTTTTTGTTTTTTAAATGAATGCTAATAAGTAGTAATGAAAACTTCTACAGAAGTTTCCATACATATCTGACAAATTAATTGTTATGCAAAAAATGCCCCAAAAAAACTTGCTTGGCCCTGGCATTCAAAGAAATTATGCAGTAACACTACTGGGGAGAAGGAAAGAAAAGAATATGCTCTTGAATTGACACAGCAGTTTGAACCTTAATTACAACATTAGGTTTAACACTACTTCAAATCCAAACTTTGCTATAAGAATAGCTGAGAATACTGGGGTCTATTGAGAGAGAAATTAAATTATAAGAAGTGAAATAGTTGCTTTGCTTGTGACAGAAAAATACAGGGCAACAATTAGTAATTAGTCTACAAAAGCAAACTCAGATTGTTGTCTCTTTTAATGAAATGCATCTTCTTGTTCCCTTGATCTTCACAGAATTAGTCAGAAACATTACAGCTTACAGCGTCAAACAGGTTTTACTCTCTTTAGAAGCACACTGCTGTTGTTATTCACACATGGTGGGTTTAGCACACGCGTGAAGGAAGGCAGCACATGGATGGTGCAATTTCCTTGTCTGCTCCAGTTGTGGTGGGGATGTTCCCCACTGCTGATTGGTGGCAGACAGTGATGGAGTGCACAAAACTGTGACCTTTACATGAGGAGGAGCACACGACTAAAATGATCACACCAATGGTGTAGCACTGTTGAAATCTTTATAAAGGATCTCACATTGTCCGCTGACTCTGCTTTTTGTAAGCCTCAAGTGCACAGGGCAGTCCTTTCTATTCTCTTTCAGGGTTATAAAACTTTCATAGAGGTTTGCAACTGAATGATGCCTTCAAAAAAGAGTGAACCCTTCCTTCTGGTTAGTGGGGATAAATATCTACAATGTCAGTTGAAACTAGAAGCCAAAAAGAGCTTCTGCTCTTGAATACCTTGCAACTCCACTTACTTTGTCTTCAAAAGATGGAATGGAATTGTAAGAAGTGACAGCTAAAATGATAATCAGAAGTAGAAAACAGTTTTTTTCTGGTAAACCACTGAACAAAGTACAATTTCACAGATAAGCAGAGATGAGAGTGGGTGTAGGTGGTATAGTGGAGGGTTTGCAAACTTAGGAACAGCAACGAAATGAATAAAACCTAGTTATTCTTTTCCTCAAGAGAAAGAGCTTCCCAGTCCACCCAGTGAAGTCACCAGATGGTGGATTTAAAATAAATATAATGAGTTACTTTTTAAACACAGAACACAGATGAAGGGAAGACACTGGCAAAGAATGTCATGGATACTGAGATTTTGAACTGGTTCAAAGACAAATTCTGGCCCATCAGCAGCTAAAACTTGTCCTGATCCAGTGCAGGTCTCTAGATCTAGAAGTCTGCAGAGATGTTCTGCTCTTATATTCTTTTCATAAAAATCTATCACTGGTGGAGGCAGGATACCAGGTGTCTGTGGTACCAGAACAACAGCTGCTGCAGCACTTTTGGAGAATCAGGTCATGCTTATGTGAAGACAGAAGGTAGAGGGATCCATCAGTATTCTTCAGTAGACATCTCATGTTAAGTTCATCTTAAAACCTATGTAAAAACCCTAGAGGCAAACAGTGCTACTTTGAGTTAACTTTTAAATACTTTTTTTTTCTTTTTTTTTTTTTATGGCATGAAACCATTACATAAATACCTTTTCTGCCAAATCTGCCTTATGTCAAGATGACATAAAAATAGGGAATGCAGTAGAAGTATTTTCAGGTGCAACCCCTACATATCATCCTGGGTGAAACATGAGACAACTCATCCATTTCATCTGCTGCTTTCCTCTGCAAGCTTAGGCAAGAGACTTTGCTCCCTCCCCCTCCTGGTCTAGTCCATCTCCTTTAATTTGTCATTTTTGTGCAGGTGATCTTCTCCCAGGGATCTCCTTATGGCTTCTGAAAGTTTCAGCTTTCTCATGTTATTATTTGTCTGTAAGAAGAAGAATTCAACTTTCCCTCCAGTGTTAGAGAAGTTTGCTTTCCTCCCTTCCATCACCTCCTTCCCCTCTTCAGGAAGTTCTCTATCCACTGGACAATGTTTTAACACACAGGAAATCCCCAGGGTTTGGGTGAGGCCTCATTCAGTCTGTTCCCCTAGAGCCATGCAATTTGCATCTCTCTCTTCTTGAGGCTCCTCCTTTGCCCTTACAGAGTCAATACTGATCCTACACCTTCCAGTTTGGATGCTCCAGTGTCCTCCCCACTCTGTGGCTAAGAATGCCCAAGGAAGAGCAGTTATGTGACAACCCCCAGAAACCTTCACCTACCTCTGGAGCTGCCTGTGCAAGGAGCACAGAGCTGGAGTTCCACCACAGCAGGGCAATCACAAGGGCCAAATGCACCACCACGAGCTGGAGCTGCAGCATCTGCAAAGGAGAACAATCTATAAATTATTCCACAACTGCATCCCCTGAGGAATCTTGCTCCACAGGTCTTAAAGAAGTAAAAACAAAGGGAGACTCTCCCCATGGCTGTTAATAAGTTTTGTCTGTCAGAGTCACTGCATAAAGATAATGCCAGCTGAATGCTCTTCACCCTTGCATGCAGAACCAGCTCGCTCCTCTGCTCCTTCCTACACAGCCCTGCCAATCTTCTGATTCCTTTCTGCACAGTGGTGCAATCCTTGCAGCAGCAGCAGCAGTGAGGAATGCAAACATGCCTTAAAACCAGATGAACTGCATGCTCACTTGTAAGCAGGGAGCCTTTGGCTTGTAGCCCAGGCTGTCCCTGACTTCCCCACATGCTGGAGAGGTGCTTGAAGCTGTGACAGAAGTCATATACTCCTCCCGTAGCATTTTGAAGGCAAGGCTGCATTTTGCCAGTTCCCAACACGATGTAGTGGGAGCCACAACCTCCAATGGCACCCTGCAATAAAATTATTCACAATAAGCTTGCAGAGGGATGTGTTGCTGAGGCTGGTGGTGGTCTGACCATGTGTCACAGCTGCAGAACCACAGATGCCCACCAAGCCTTTAAATAATGCAGGGAGTTTTGGGGGCTCAGGATGGGGAAGGTGCTTGGTTACCTCTGGACGTGGGTTTAGCCTACATTGTTTAAGTCCATGTTTGGATCCAGACCTTAAAACCTGATGTGCCTTCAATTCCCCAGGTGGGAGTGTTTCAGATGATGTTAGGAAGAGCTGGGCTGGGGCCTTTTGCCAAAGGCATCTCCTAATTTGCTGTTTTGTCTGTCTCCAGGTCCTGCCCCAGAGTATGATTCAAGTCTGATTCTGCCATTTTTTGCTGAGTCTCCACTTGGCAAAAGCAGAAACACAAAGAGTGTATGAATAATTATATATACATATATAATTATTACTTTTGTCCATAGGGGATGGGCAGTTAGGAAGAAAGCTGCTGGTTTCTCTGCAGGGGTGAGGCAGACAGTTCACTGGAATCCAGGGACAAAGTCAAAGCACTAAGGCATCTGGTGTCTCTCGGCCCCACAGCAGCAGCCACTGCTTGACATAAACACAGAGGTTTCCCTGGGTGTTTTTAAAGTTGGAACCCTCTACAATGTATATTTTTGTATGTGGGCGTGCATTGAAATTTGAAGTAGCAGTCTACTACCTTCACAGATAACCACATCCTGATTATTTGGATACAGAGATGTAAAAATAAATGGCAAGGTTAAAAACATATGTTTATTATGGTTTTAAGATCTGTGCTGGTATTCATTCAAGCCAAAGACTAAAGAGCTAAAAATAGCAACTGGTACACTAATGAAAATAAACAGTGAGACACCTGCAACACTAAAGACATTTGATTAAATGGTCAGAACTTGACGCCAGTGAAATTAGAAGCGGAGGAAATTTTAAGGACTTAAAGCTTGGCTCTACTTCCCAAAGAAATAAGCAGCTAAAGAGGTGGTGTCACTGACTGAAAAGAGAGCAAAACTTGAGCCCAGCAAGACCCTTTTCTACTGATTTTCATGCAGCAATGGGACCAAGGCAGGAAAAAAAGGCAGGGTCATTGTAGTGGAACAGTTCGGCTTTAGAAAAGTAATTGCAAAAAAACTAATAATGCAGTGAGGATTATGTAAATACAATTAAAATCACACTTTCTTCTGCTCGTCTGGAACTTAGTTCTACCACCTTCAGCGATGTCATAGGACCTTACTTATTAAAAGAAGTTATTGGTATTTCTCCTTGAGCTTATTTGTTGCAACTGGCCAAGTAGAGCCCTCTGGCCAAAAAGGGGTTTTCCCAGCCATGCTCTGGGTATTGCTTCACTCCATCCATATTTTACCTTGACACATTCCAAGAGAGGCTTTAAGAGAGGCTGGACAGTATTTCTTCCTGAAGGAGACTAAGCAAAGCTCTGACAAGCTTTTCAAGATGCACCCTTAACTGAGTTTGAAATTCATTGTATTGAAATTGCATCCTTCCAGAAAATTCTTCACCACCAACTTCACAGAGCTAGGTCAAGGGATTGGTGTATAATTCCATGTCTGTAGTATCTCAGGGTCTTTATGTCAGTGTTATCTGACATAAAATACGGTTTTGCCTTCTCTAAATGAAATTGCAAGTCTGAAATTCAGACATATTTATGTTTCTTAGCGATACTTTAGCTTGAAATGTGTCAAAACTAAAATTCCTCATATAATTAGGTATCTTTGTTGCTGGTCCAATTAAAATAAAATTAAAGATAAAAGAAAGAACAGTATTCTACCTTATCAAAGCAGGATAAACACACAAAACTTTTACTTAGGAACCAGTGCAGAGCCATTTTCCAAGAAAATATCACAAGAAAGCAAAACGCTTTACCAAACAGAAACTGTTAAGTCTCCAACATCAAACCAAAGGACTTAAAAGATGTTTTTCTTACAGACAAAAAAACAAAACCCAAAATGACATCCTGAAGATAAGTGAGCTGAACAAACCTCAGACAGAATGCAATTCATCACCAAGCTCCAAACCCATTGCCTGTCAAAAATGGTAACAGCCATCATTGTTCTTGCCCATTTGATCCACGATATTTCACATTACTCTGGAGATTACTCTGCAGGCATAAATCACAAGGGACTTATTTTTCTTACTGGCCTGTTAGCAAGAGAACCGAGGCAAGACATCAAGCCTTGCTCTGCAATCCTTCACTCCAGTGCCAGCCTGTCCTGATGGCTGTGCTCTGCTCGTGGCTGTGACACCAGCAGGGGACCTTGCTCTTGCAACCAGCACCTTGTGCCCAAGCCTGGAAACCCCTGAGGTTTTGCCTGGATGCCACCAGAATGACCTGATGCAGAGCCAAGGCTTGGCTGTCCCACAGGCATTGGGAAGCTCCTGGTGCCTCTCTGGCCTCCAGTGCTGCTCTTAGAACGCTGGGACAGCACTGGGAAGTGATGAACTTCATCCCTGCTAGGCAGGAAGGGCTCTGGGACTGTGCAGATTCCTGCCAGCTGGGGGAAATCAGGTCTGCAAACCAGCTACTGAGCTGTTTTGTTACTGCTCCTGCACCACAAAATAGAATATTAACTGCTGCTACCTATTTTAATTGAATTGATTAATCAAATTGAGTACTCGCACTGGCCTTGCTATGCTTGCATTGCACGCCCAATAGGAATACACCTTGGCCAAAAAAATGATGATGGATGATTATCTTACCAAAAGAAAACTTAAAAATGGCTTGTGTGAAGCTCTAAAAAGTCTGCTCCTGCTGGAACAAATTTTCCTTACTTTTAAAAGTTGTAAAGGGTATCCTTTGATCACCACAAAGCCAAAAATACTGTCCCTAGCACCAGTCCCAGTGATTTCAGAGCTGCTGAAGGACTCTGTGTGTCTCAGGAGCAATCTTGTAGTTATGTAAATGTAAAGGAAAAAGGACAAAAATCAAAACAAATCCCACCCTCAGAAGAAAAAGCAGATCTCAAAAATAGGCTAGAGTGGTGTTTTTGTTGTCATCCCACAGACAAGATATGGAGCGTTTCTCACATATTGCTTTCTAAAAGATACTGAAGCCACACATTGAAACATGGGGCTTTAGTGACAAAATGAAATGTAAGCTGCCAGTGTCAGGCCCTTTATGTTATTAATAATGTGTTTTCTGGAGTAGGCATAGATTTTTAAACAATGCCATATGTTTTGTTATACATGGAACAGAAACTGACAACTTCTACAATGTATTTTTCCTTCTATTTTCAGTTTCATAACTATATGGATATATAGAGGCAGGTAGGTTTCATCTAGTGGAACCAGAGAGAACTTGAAATTCATAGACTTATGCAAGAGGCTTATGATTAGTTATTTTGAGATAACTAGGTATTTTTGTGTCCTGAAAGAAACTTTTTCTCAGACAGTATTTCAAGGCCAAGTATGCTCCACTTCCTGAAAATGAAGTTCCTTCAAGGTTTCTCAAGACAGTCAAGATTTGTTGATTGATTTCTAAAGCCTTCATTTCAATAATTGCATTCCCTGTACCCTGATTTCTGGGCTCAGTCCTGACATGTTCTCACATCACCACGTTAGTCACCCTTGCCTGTTTGACAGCTGTGCTTTGGCTCAGAAGTTGCTCGAGCACACAGCTCTTCCTACCACTTGTAGTCAGATAAAACAGAGTTTTATGTCATGGTTTAGTCACTGCATGGCTGTCCTGGACCCTGCCTGCACAGGACACAAGAAGAAAGGATGGAAAGGCGACCCTCTAATTCCCATGAGGAGTTCAAGAAGGGCATAAATGAACACAGCCCTGTCAGGGCCCCTTGGCTGGACAGACACAAGCATGATTCAGGAACAAATTAACTGACAGAGGTGGGCAAACACTTTTGAAAAGTCTAGTCAGTCATGGTTCTCATCTCTTCCTTTGAAAACAGGGCATGAAACCAAATGGCCATACAGCACAAATGAGGACAATTTTTTTTAGAATGGGCAGGAAGGACACTGGTTTGGCACCCTGCAAAGCTGGCTACACATTTACACTATTACACTGTGTAATAAATCCATTTTTAGCAACATATTTTAAAAATTAAAAGCCCCAAATTCACATATATTCCATGAAAGTAGGAGACCATGAAGCAACAGACAGACAGAAGTGATGGAGCCCATCTAGAAGCTCAGGGGCTATTAAAACAGAAGGATGGTATGAAGTGCAAGAAAATATCTCTTAGTGGGAAAAACCTATTTGCACCTTTTCTCAAAATATAATTGAGTAAGCTGCAGTTTTTCTGGTCTGTGCAATGGAATACAAAACATTATTAGACTATTCTTCATTGCCAACAAACTCTCAGTCCTACACTGTTTATATATGTACTGACTAAACATGCCAACTTTTCTTAACATTTCCAACAATTTGACATTCAGCTTTCTTTCTTCTTTTCTGCAAGAGCCAAAAACTTTTCATTGTTTGAGTGCCATCTTCAGAATTTAGAGCAAAAATAAAGAATCTTTCCATCAAGAAAAATCAAGAAATAAATAATGGTTTTCTATATTAGAAAATAATATTTTCCTAACAGCATTGAAGTGATAAGTAGAAGATCTTTACATCAGGTACCAAGTTTATATTGGCAAAATAGTTTATCAATAGAAAAACAGACCATTTAAAGTATAATAAAAATATCCCTCAAGATAAGCTTTTAAGAGACCAGAATGGCATTGGAATATCTTAACAAGATTCAAACAGTGATACTGATTTACTTGAAAAACACTTAAACATTCTGATCAAGGGTATTACTTGAAGAAGAAAAGTCTTAGGGGAGATGCACTGCAAAAGTAAATTAGAGAATAGCCCTTCTCTCTGGGTTAAGTAAGAAGAGAAGGAAGGCACAAGCCCTTGCAATCTTTGTCAGGGTCCAAGAGCAGAGCTCTTACAGCTGTTGTGTGTTTTAATTGGCTCTTCAAGAAAGCCCAGAAAGGCACTTGTCATTCATTCAAAGAGTGAAAACAAAGTCCTAATCTGCTGAAATCAGATTGGCAGGTATTTATAAAAATGAAGAATGCCTGATCCAGTCAGATATATTTTTCAGTTTTCCCATCATTTACACCATAGCTTTGCTTGGTTTAAGCTGGGGGTTTTTGCCTGTTATTCCTCATAATGTCCAAAGTATTTTACAGGAAAAGTAGGTTGAGCTGCATTTTGAATACAGGTGAGCAGAGACAGATAAATGCAATAATAAGTTTCTTGAGTTAAGCAGTGGGCAGAGGCACAAAATGTCCTCTCAGCTCCTCAGGTTTCAGCTCTGCTCTCCCCACGAGAGAACAATCATTGCAAAGTGAAAGACCAAGTAGGAAAGCTAAGGGCATTGCATGCTAGTGCTTCAAAAATTAGTGTATTCTGAACTTTATTGCAGCCTCTGGACATCTAAACCAAACGTTATTTGCATGTATTTACTTGTACAACTTCAGTGTGGGAGGAAAAAAAAAGTGAAATAGTTTGAACTCAGAATGAAGAAATTACAATGACTATCACAGAATCAGAGTCTGCCTTCAGTTACAGGGGTACAAAACTGAACTAGCCAGATCACTGGATAATGATAATTACTCTGTTAGTGTAGGAATGTTTTTGCAGTTATTCTATTATTGCAGGAATTCAGCAGAATCTGGATCAACATTTGTCTAATACAGGATACAGTGAAACCCTTTTGCAGATCCATAAATTAAAGGTTTTTCCTAAATAATTTATCTCATGTTTTCCAATATATTAGATGTAGCAAACTTGTCTACCACATAAGATATTTAGCAATGTAAAAGAATTATTCTGTCACAGCTCTTCAGCTTATTTTAAGAAGTAATATGCATTTGACAATAACTTACACAAAAGGAAAATCCATAGCAATATAAACAGACAGCAGTTTACTGCAAAGCACTGCAACAGCATAAAAGTAATTTGTCACTGTTGCAAAATGCACTGACATATTCTGTTTAAGTATTGGCTGATTAACTGAAGGATATAAGTTTCCACTGAATATTTGTAGCTCAGTTTTCCTACGAAAAATCCTAGGTGATAGCCACCTTGTTATCTTAATTCCAAAGTAAAAAGTACTGGAAAAAGTACTTGTGCTTTTCCCATCAGATTTTTATACCTTTTACATGTCTGTTAATAAAAAAAAAAAAAAGAAAACATCAAAAAGAGGAAAACACAGAAGGGAAGAAAGCTTCTGTAAAGAGAGCAGAAGACAGAAAACATTCCCAACACATTCTGCCCTCACTCCTCTTACCTTGCATTAGATGCAAGCAATTCCACCTTAATGGTCCTGCTATGTTCTTCCTCCTAACTTATCCTTAATGTTCAGCTTTCTTTCAGAGGTTTTTATAGTGTCTGGTGTAGGCTACAAACTCCAATCACTGCCTTTGCTTTCTCTTACATCATTTCTAAAGATTTTCCACTGATCCTTGCCCTAAACCTTTCTGTCCTGCACTCTCACACACATACTTGCCTCACATTTGTTATATTTATTGCTGTGATCAAAATGATTAGGTTATAATTAAAGGTCTAGGAGTTTGCTCTGGGTTTTTTCCCCCTTTTTTCATTTAATTTCAAGATTCAGACAGTCATGGGAGTAGAAAGATTTTCAGCAGCATCACCATTCCTCTAAACTCTCACTGTTGTAAACTGCAGTACTGAAACACAATGTCCTGAGTCATTACTGAGGGTTTGTTGTTTTTTAACTTTGTTTCTTGGGGATATCAGAAGGACTGTATTAGCTTCAGAAAGAAATTAGCATGTTTTTAGTAAACCAAACACCACTGTAAGTTAAGCATTAGAAAAAGATTGTGCTTTGTAAAGCAAGTGACATGAACTTAAGTCTTTCAGAGACTTAATTTCTGTTATTGAACTGTTAAGTTATTGAATTGTAAAGCATGGGTTGTGGAGATGCTTATCTTTCCTAGGCAGTATCAGAGGGCTTATTTCTTTCCCTGTTTGCCTCCCTAGACTAACTCTATCTTCCTTTTTTAAAAATCTCAGATTTTAATAGATTTGCAGAACATTTTAGACCTGTTTTGGGGTTTAAAATTCTAACCAGAGCAGGCTCCTTAAGACTTGATTCACAGTAATTTTATTCCCTAAATAGAAAGGCACAGGACATTGAAAGTTTTTACTCTGACTTGCCAAAAGCTGTTCCTACAAGCCATGGACAGTGAAAGGAAATTTCCAGTATGTGGGAAAAAATTGTCAGCCAGGAAGCAAACACTTTGACTTCATTTGTCTTGATCAAAGTGATTAGAGAAAAATAAGAGCTTGGTGATACTGAGGCAAAGCAAGGACTGCTGCCCCATATCTGGACATGTTCCAGGCCAGGCTGGATGGGGCTCTGACAGCCTGGTCCAGGGGAATGTGTCCCTGCCCAGGACAGGGGGTTGGCACTAGGTGATATGTAAGGTCCCTGCCAACCCAAGGTGTTCTGTGTTTCCACAGCATCTCCCAGCACAGGCCAGTGTGGGAATGCGGCCTAGAGCAGATCTGCAGAAATCCTGCAGAAACACAGAAATGGGCTGGCCACAGGAGCAGCCACAGCCAAGTCAGGCAGGTTGAGACTTCTGCACTGCAGGGTGTAACAGAGCAGTGGTGGCAGCTGCAGAGTCCAGATGGGCTCTGTGGGCACTGGAGGAGCAAGAGAAGCACAAGAGCAGAGCCAAACACCACCAGAGTGCTGAAACACAGCTGGAGATGCTGCTGCACAAAGAGAACTGGACTGAAGTCCATTGTACTGCATTTAGGTGGTGGATTGCTGCTGGAAGTCCAAGGACACAGCTGTACTTGACTGATGGGTCTAAAACAAGAAAGCAGGATCTCAGGGCGAAAAAAATAAAGATCATGACAATCTAACAATGAGGTATGATCAGTTTCTGGGCTACCTTAGTGACATAGGACCACAAGGTGCTGCTGACCAGCTACTGCAGTTCCAGGCTCTGGGTTTCCTTCCTCTGTTGGAAGGACACAAGGTGGCACTCACAGGCATTTACTCCTCTTGGGAGTTCTTATAGGTTCTATCTTAAGGTTTTCAAGCAGAATCTCTGCAGGACTCCATTCTGCCACCACGTTTGGTGTTGATGTGGCTGGTAGGAGACCTGGGCTGTGACACTGGGAACAAGCTGATGACAGAGAGCTGAGTGCTGGCAGTGAAGGCATTTTGGTGTTTCAGAGGAAAGTCTGGAGAACAGCTGAGACTCAGCCTTCTACAACTCAGCACCTCACAAGATTGAGGGAGGCAGGGAAGGACTGCAGAAAAACCAGCAGAAGTGCAGCCATAGTGTCACCTCCTTTGGCTCCGAGAGTTTGTCTAAGAACTGGCATCAAAATTTTCTTTTATTGTCTCCATGGATCAGTGATGCTATATCAAAGCTTCAGCCACTTTTGTTCTACCTATTGGACCTACTCAGAGGTTGAAGCTCTTCCTTTAAGAAAAGTTATTTTCTATTTCACAATTTATCACTGTATCCAAAATCTAAAATATTTCAGAAATGGTTCCTGATACACACAGCTATCATCAGCTCTGACTAGGAGGTGTGGAAGACTCAGATCTAGGTAATTTTTCATCTTCTTGGGCTGCTTCTGGCCTTAGCATAAGACATTCTACCAGCACATATGTGGGTTTTGTCTCTGGGGAAAAAGAAACCCCAACAAACCAACAAACAAAGCAAGCAAATAAGCCAACAAACAAAACAAAAGAAGAAATACCACAAATAAAAATGAATAGTGTGTTAGAGTGCTAACATTTAATTTCCTGCTCTAAATTGACTGTGATTTATTAACACTTTTTTGACACCTTCTAGTGAAGACTGCCAAGGAAGCTTCCCAGACAATGAAAAAGGTATGTGGTGGTTACTCTGCTGGCAGAGCATCTAAGGAACAGATATCCTCAGCAGCACTGTGGCTTAATTATACTTACAATGTAATTGAATTATAGCAACCAAGAGTTTGGAAGGAGTCCTTATTGTCTTACCAATGAATGAATGAACAAATATAATGTGATTTTTCTCAGCTATGAAGACAAGAAAAAGGAAAATTGGAGGAGGTGAGGACACAAGACATGAAACTCTTTTTGTTGCCATTCAAGAGAAAGACAAACTTACCTCCCTACTGCTCTCATGGTCCCACAAGAATTTCTGTAAATCTTTCAACACTGCTTTGCACATCAGTTGAGCTGGCTGTTTTCCTTAAGTAGACAAGTTGTGATTCAGAGAGCAGGAGTTAGCAGGGCTCACTTGTGTAAGTGTTGAGCAATCTTGCTCTTCAGCACCCTTGCCTGTGGAAACTGTATTTGGGGTTGTCAGACATTGTCTGTAGAAGCGTGGGAATGGCACATGTATGCAATGCTTGATATTTCTGTATTTTTAGTCCTTCCCTTCTGCCACTAAAACTTGCAGCAGTGTTGTAGCATCCCTGTGATCTATGCCACAGGAGTCCCCTCATTCTATCCCTGAGCTGTCCCATGGGAACTTCACCTTCCAGCCTCTTCTAAGTGTGAAACCCTTTCCAGCAACCACGGGTTCCCCACACAACACCACACCTCACAAATCAGTGTGAACAGTGAGGGTCCAGCAGGTGTTATGGCCAAAGCAAGAGACCTGAACTCAGGAAGTTTTGATTGATCTGGCATGGACCTGAGGAATTCTGATTACTTATGATTATACATATTTTACATATCTTCACTAAACACTGAGTGTGTCATCAGGAAGAGTCCAGTTCCCAGTTTAACATGGAAAAACATCACCACACTGAAGTTAGCAAAAGTGGACATTTTTCCAGATGTGCAAGGTTTGTCCCAAACGCTAAGAAATAATCCAAGTGCTTTTTGTATCTTTTCAAATTAAAAATATATTCTTTAAAATAAAGAGCTGATTTTCATGAACCAGGTGCTCAGCTGATGTTGATTCATATAGCTCTGAGATAAAAAACTAAGATATTCCAAATTACAGTGACTTCAATTTATTTTTACTTCTTGAGACAATAAACTCTTCAGATAAAATTGGCCCAATTCTGACACCAGTCTAAAAAAGGAATAGCATTCCACCAGATTAATCAAAACACAGCATTTTACAGCTACATTATTGGTACAGGGAGAACATCCAACATTACTTTTGTTGCATTTACATTCATATCTTGTCTGGAGAATGGGAAACATTTAAAAATAACCACCCCACATTTTTAGTCAATACAAAAGAGAGAATTTCAAAAACCAAGCTAGTTCCCACCTCTTTGCATGTTGATACAGAGAGCCAGAGAGCAGATGACTCACTGTAAGACAGACTATGGAAAAGAGACCCTGCACTAACAATGTGCATTAAAGTTTTCCAACAGAAGGTACATTCCACCTTGGAAGGAAAACCTATGTTAAGACAGCTATTTTTAAACCTGCAAACTATCAAAGTAGGCTTTGCTGTGTCACTTCCATTTAAGATGAATCCTTGCAGCTAGATAGAGTTGGAGAAACAAAACCCACAAACTGATGGTAGAAAATAGCACTGAAGACTGTAACATTCCTTAGGAATGTTAGGCTTCCTATGAGCAGTTTCTATATATGTACTTTTTAAAAGTCCTTTGTGCTGGAATTATGTGCTTGCAATAGGTGCTGGGTCACGACATCTATGAGTCCATGAAAAGCTCTCAAAAAACAAAGCAAAAGTCCCAAAAAGGACAGCTTCTTGAAAGGCAAGGCATGCTCTGGTGCAGAAGGCTGTGTGTGGAAATAAAAGATGTTTTATCTCCGGTGCCCATGCCATTGGCTCCCAGCCCAAGATGGACATGAGGAGTGAAGATGGCCAAGAAAAGCAACAGGACCTTCTGTGCTGCGGACACAGTGGTCCATGAGCTAATGGACAAGGGGTAACAAACACACACATCTCAATGTACCAAGCAAACAGTAATAGCTCTGGGCCAGCATCAGCCTGGTGCTGACTCAACTGGCATCACAGAAATGAAAATGAGTAAACTGTTTCCATCCCCTCTAACTATGCTCCTTGGAGTCAATGCTGAATATAAACACAACAAATTGGGAACCATCCCCATCTTTCTGTGCTGGGAGGGAAGAATGTTGTTTTCATACTGCCTGCCTTGTCAAAGACATGTGTGCTGGTGGCCCCTGCCACTGAAACAAGCTCTTTGTGGCCTGTGAACCCTGGTGCCACAGTGCACAAACACAGGACAGCAAAGTGGCTGCAGAGCACAGGCACAAATGAGGCCATGCAGCACAGCCCTGAATGTGCAGCAGCAGCTCAAGTTTAGAAATGCTCAAAGAAGAAAAAATGTGTCTGCCCCTGAAGCTGTCCTCACCTCAAACTTTATTTCAAACAACTTTTCATCATTTTCTTGCAGACCTGAGAAGTACAGAGGAGTTGTGTTTATTGGTACTAGGATGAGAGGTGCAAAAGAAGTAAAGAAAGAAGCTAACCAGCAAAATGGTGACAAAAGACTGGGAAAAAGAGGAAGGATAGATATTCTTCAGGCAGATGCAGAGGTGTGGAAGCTGGGCAGAGCCATGTGGACCACTCCCAGTATCACAGGATGCTGCAGGATATCTCACCACCCATTTCCTACCTGACATGCAGGTAAAGGAAGTCATGTGAAAGGTGAGGCTGGGAAGCTGTTTATCCATGGAAACAGTTCCTGCACCAAGTGGTATTAATAAGGAAGGTTCTGTCCGAGAACAGAATCCAAACAGAGCATGCTGTTAGTGTCAACCCAGGAGTTCAGAGTGTGCTGGCTGATTTGATTTTTTTTTCCTGCTTTGCTCTAGAATAAATGTGCTTATGGATTGGTTCTTTTAAGGGAAGCAGCAAACAAGGGATGCTGTTAGTGTCAACCCAGGAGTTCAGAGTGTGCTGGCTGATTTGATTTTTTTTTTCATGCTTTGCTCTAGAATAAATGTGCTTGTGGATTGGTTCTTTCAAGGGAAAGAACAAACAAGGGGAATAGCAAACCTTCATTACAGAAATGAAGGTCTCTGGTATTTCTCAGAATTAACCACCTCCCAACAATTTGTAAACTCATCCTAACACTTGGGCCAAATTCTGGTACATGACTTGCCCACTTCAGCTCCTCTATCCTTTCAGCTGGACAGAGACCTGACTGAGCTCGACTCTGCACCTCTCTGCAGGCAAGCTGCAGCTCCCCGAACAGCTGCAGCTCGCAGCTGGATTATTCCGGGATATTTCGGGAGCCATCCCGCTAGAGCAGAGCGATCATCAGGCGATCACCGCCCTCTAGAGGAGCCCACGCCGGGCGTGGGGCTGAGCCGGCTTTGCTGCCATCCAGCCATCCTCCCCACAGCCCCAGCTGCAAGAAGCAGGAGGACGGTGTTGGCTGGATTGAATGGATCCAGGTAGGCTCATGGCTACAAAGGACTGAGCCCCCATTCCCAGCTCCTCCGTTATTCCTTCCCTCTCCACATCCGAGATCGCCCAGCTGGCAGCACTTTCCCTCTGTGCATTTTGCAGAGAGGAGTGAAACACACAGAGAACTGCAAGACACAGCTACAGTAAAAAGCAATAAAAGTAACTGCCAGACTAAACTCTTGCCACAGCTTATTTTTTTCACAAGCAATGTGCATAAACTGAAGCAGTGGCACAGCTGCAAGAACTGACTGTGCCCACATGAGCTGGATGTGCTGTATGAGAAAAGCAGCAAGCCCTTCTGTACAACTGCACACTCACGTTACTTTCCCTTGTCTGGAATAGCTTGGGAGCTTTAAAGAGAAGAATACAAATAGTGATGTTTGTAAGTAAGTAACCTATCACATAATCAAGAGATGAATCTACTGTTCCTGGTGTGCAAAGGTCCTTCCTCTTTGATTAGGTGAATATTTAAGAAGAAACTGCTCTGTACAGAGACTTAACATAAGATCCTGGAGGCAGGAATAGCACATGGCCAGGTTTCCCCAGACACATCCTTTCTCTTTTTTCCCAGCTGAAAATTCTGTCTAGTTGGAATTCAGCAATCTTTTACATTTTCTTCTGACAGGCTGGCTGGATGTGCTGGTTTGCCTGCAGATGGAGGGATTCTGCAGGTAACCATGCACAGACCACCTGTGCATGTGCAGCCCAGGATCCAGTAAACATTACATTTCAAACCTTACCCTGGGATTCAGGAGAGCTGTGTTCTGTTACAGAATCACAGCATGGTGGAGCTTGCCAGGGATCTCTGGATACTGATTAGCCCAACACCCCTCCTCAAAGAAGGGTCAAAAAAAGCAACTTTTTGCCAGTGCTCTCCATGACCTCTCTGGGCAGCCTGCTCATTCTTCAGCTACAGTAAAAGAAAGAGAAGAATACAAATAGTGATGTTTGTTTATGATGTTTGTAGATAAGTAACCTCCATGACCTCTCTGGGCAGCCTGTTCATTCTTCAGCTACAGTAAAACAAAAGTCTGATGTTTAAATGTAATTTCTTGTACTCAGTTTGTGCCCTTTGCTTCTTTTAGTGCACACCACTGAAAAGACTCTGGCTCTGTCTTTTCCTCCACCATGGGGTGTTTATATGCATTGAGAAGATCACCTCAGCTCTCTCACCCTTTGCTCACATATGACAAATGCTCCAAGGTGTGGCCTCCCAGTATGCCCACACCTCTCTTGCACTGGGAGCCCAGCTCGCAGGTGTGCACACACTCAGCCAGCCCAGGTGCTGCTGCCCTTCTTTGCTGCAAGGTCACTGCTGCCTCAGTCAGTGCACCCACCAGGACCCCCAGGTCTTCTCTAAAGCTGTTTTCCAGATATTCAGTCATCAGCCTGTGTAGGTGCATGGGGTTACTCACAGCTTCACTTCTGCCTTGACTAGCTGGCCTTGGACTCAGCTCCCTGGGCCTTGCTCTCCACGGTGTTGATAACACTGATCTCTTTTGTAAAGCAATTTCAAACTTTGTTTATGTGATGTAGGTGTTATTTCATTTGTCAATCATAGGTAAATATCTCATCATCCTCCTTTAATGTCTGGCTCCTCATATTGGCAACATTCACTCCCATGGGGGCTTTTATAGCATGTTCACTGCCCTGTACTCCCTGTAGGATTAAAACTGGGGCTTCTCCCTCACTTTTTATCTAGAATACAACAGCCAGAGAGGGGAGAAAACTGGTAAGATGAAAGGGCATTGTTCATGTCATAATGTTCTGAACAGGACTTTACAACCTTTGGCTACAGGATATTATACAGTGCTCAGTTTACTGTCCCAGTCTCTAGACTTGTGGTGCAGTACATGTGTGTGCATGAGCACCTCAAGAAAACATAAACTAAATACAATCTGAGGCACCTGAGCAGCAGGAC